GGCTGAGCAAGCTGGCCGAGCAGGCTAGCTAGCAACGCCAACCCGCAAGCACACAACAAATTTGCTAGGTCAGCACGCTGTTACGTGCGGCAAGGCTGCTGGCCCAACAAGCTTACGTGCGTTGCCAGCCAGCAAGGCCATCCCGCAATGGCGCAAGCACCAGTAGCGAGCTGGGCTTACGAGGCAAGCCCAGCCGAAGGCCAAGGCTGCCAGCACGGCATGCCTTGAGGCCCAAGGCTAAAGGCATGCCGTGCACATGGGTTTGTTGAGGCTTGCTTGCTCTCCAAGGGGAGGGTTTGTGGTCCTTACCTAACCCCTCCCTTGGATTGACACTTGTCATATGACTATTGTACATGCCTTTTAATTTAATTTAGAATTAAATTAATTCATGTCTTTTCTCACTTTACCAATTATCCCACATTGGAAGATGATGGGAATTCTTGGGGACATTTCCCTATAAATACCCATCATTGGGTATTGGGAATTTCACTTGAGTTGGTGAACTTTAAGGGATCTCCAAAGAGAGAAAATCTTTATTCGTAAACTCTAAGTTATTTTTGTCTAGCCTCGTCTAAGCTACGGGGTAGGGGCCGCTTACGGTTCGGTAGCGAGAGTGTGAGCCGTCGGAGGTTCTCGCACTTGCGGAACTTGAAGCTTTCAAGTCCGAGCTCATCGGTGGAGCGAAGCACGCTTCTAAGGTGAGTTTTATTTCTCACTCTTCTCTTTGTGCTTAAGTGATTTCCTTATTTGCATGCTTTTATTTATGTTGTAATTATTATGGATGCGATTCGGTTATCGGGTTTTTGTTTCTACGCGGTGTCGAACACCACAAAACTCAACAGGATGCACAGGCACAGATTATAATTACACGTTCTAAACTTCTAATATGTATAAATTAGATATAAATGCTACCGAAATTTATCAAAAAAATGGACTATTTGTAAAGGGAGGAAAATATGTCAATTACAAATAACTACTTATTTATAACGGGCATTTATGTTGCCCGTTACATATAAGTACTATTTTATTAGAAACAAGTACTTATTTGTAGCGGGCAATATAAACGCCCGTTAAAAAAAAGTAGTTATTTGTAACGGGCAGGTGAAATGCCCGTTACAAATAATACTTATTTTTAATGGATTTTTCCCGATACAAATAAGTAGTTATTTGTAACGGGCATTACACCTGCCCTTAAAAATAACTTCTTATTTATAACGGGAATTGCCCATTACAAATAACTTTTTCTATCCTTAACGGTCGCACACGTAAAGCCCGCTGCCCGTTACAGATAGGCAATTTTCGCCCGTCACGGATGACCTTTTTTCCACTAGTGTAATTATTATTAAATAGCTTTGGAGAACTCATTGAACAAGTTTCCTTCCTTACCTAGCCCTTTATAAGATTGGGCTTCCAACTATGGAGCTACCCAAGTTTTGCACCTACTATGTCACGAAAGTGACGGAATTCCAGCGCAATTAAAAAGAAAGTACAACGTCCTGTACTCCTGTAGAAGCTATGGTCAAATTTAAAGTCACAAAACTCCCCCATATGTTCATACTCAAGGTATATACGTTCCCAGAGTTTTTGGTGCGTATCCTCTAACACTTTACGTGATTGTCAATTTACATGTGATGATTCCAACCAATTAATCAAGAATACAACACATACAACAATCATCAACACATACTTCCATTTCATTCTTGAATTAATTAGTGAGCATATACAATTTATTTCAATTAAGGTTGCTTGCCTAGTTTTATGCACAAATATGCACTATTACTACCTTGGTGCAAAAAATGCACTAATAAACTTTCTTGACTCAATCTCAACTTATGTGAGTGAGTAATAAATTAAAAAAGCTTCTTTACTCAACTCAAATAATATCTGAGTGAGAGTAAAAATCATGAACCATGCTCAATAATTATAATCTTAGCTCCTTTTAACATATATAAGCCTTGCTTGATAAATATGCTTTCTTGATAATTTGAAAATAAAACTTATTATCATGATTCTTACATAATTCAACTAGTATCACGCCTCAAATAACATGTTCACATGCTTGCATATAATTTCAAAAATCATTAAACAACAATCCCAGGCATTTATCAAACAAACATACTACTAATTTATCACTTAATACATATTTTAAATTCCTAGCATGATACTACGCATACACAATTAGTTTTACGCACATACGTACCTTGAATAATAATGTCTAAACTCGGCCACTTGCTAGGAGTCACATAGCTCGAAACTTCCTACAATTAAAAATACACAACCAAAATTAATTCACTTCTCACATAAATTTTGAGAAATTATTAAATGATTAAAACCTTTGTAATTAACCCAATTTAATGGTTTAAAAGTCTTAAAACCTTTTCTTTAAGTAGGTACTTAAAACTCCTTCAAAAAGACTTAGTTTTTATGACTTAAATAAATTCCAGCATACTTATTTTATATAAAACATCACTAATAAACCAGAAATCATATTTAAATCATTGAAAACCTTTTCCTTTTTATAGGTAATTAAACCTTAACATAATAATTAAAAAGTAGTGTGTATAATAAATTTCCAGCATCAAATCATTAATTTATCAATCACAACAATCTAAGATCAAACCCTAACCATAAACATTAAATTCCCAAATACTAGGGTTTGTAAATTGGGGGTTTTCAATCAATTTAATATTTAAAAATTACTTTAATAATTTAACAACATCAACTATCTAAAAACAACATGAAATCATAATTAAAATCATGCCTTAAATTAAATAAACAACCTTAAAGTTAAAATAGGAGAAAGAGAGTTTTTTTTTTCCTTTTGTTTCAAACGAAAAGGAGAGAGAGAGAGGAGGGAGAGTGAAAGACAGCCCCTCGGTGGTGGCCGGCGTGACTGGTAGCGGCGGTGGCTGCCAGTGGCGTCACCGGTGGCGTGGGGAGAAGAGAGAGAGTGGCGTGAGAAAGAGGGAAGAAGAGGAGAAAAAGAAGAGAGAGAAAAATTTGATTGCAACATTTGCATGGAGCAGAGAGGAAAGCATCCAAGGGATTCAATTCCATCCCCAATACCCTTTTCAGAAACCGCTTAAACTTTCTAAGCCGCGTAAGTTTAGGAAAGAAGCGTTATGTTTCCTTTTTTACCTTCTTGATTCTTACAAAATGGCTTTCAGCTTCAATCTATGGAAGCTAAGAAAAACACTTAAGAAATGCATGGCTAAACCACATTTTTACCGTCACTTGATATGGTTTCACGTTGTTTAAGCCATTAGATGATTGGTACAAAGATGTTGTGAGAAAGATATAGTATGGAATGATTCACAACACAGGTTTTTGGGGGCTTCTAGTGTTGGGAAGAAAGTTTTCATGATCAATTCATGTGGAGGAAATATATGAAATTACTTGTGAGTGGATGAAATTTCTAAGGAGGGCATGTTTGTGCACTTAGGAGAAGATGAAGATGCATTTTTACTTTTCAAAAAACGAGATGATTGAGTACAATGGGTTCGATGTAATGGAGCGCATGGACTTGTTGTTGGTTGACCCGAGCTTCGAAGTTTTGCCACCCGAGCACAATCGAAAGTTAAATGATGTAATGGTGCAGCTTGTACACAATAGGATAAGAAAAGGCGCAGGGGGGCCTTCAGTGCTTCATAGTTCAGAAGAAGGATCAAGCGACAGCGACGATTATGAGTGGGTCAATGAGATTTGAAAATTAGTAAGTCGTTCACCTATGGTTTAGTAAGTTGTGTGCGAATTTAAGTATAACTGATGATGTTATGAATTAGCAATTATTATAAGTGTGAATTAATAATTTAAGTTGCAAGTATTAGGAGTATGAATTAGTATTTTAAGTTCGAAATTATTTATTGATCAGTTAGTTATGTTATGATGTCATAATTTTATGTATGAATTTAGTAATGAACAAATGTATTTTACTCGTTATTATTTAGTTGCTTTTTTATTCTATGGGATCCAACTTCTTCGTACTAACAGTCCTACACTTACTACCAACAGATTCGACAAGTAAAGAAGGTTATTTTTTTTAAGGAAACAAGTAAAGAAGTACAGAAATTAAATAGAAGAGGGAGAAAGTACAGGTCCAATATAAAAGAGTATGGCTTAAATTTCCATCCACCACCTTCTTCAATTAATGTGACACGACTGCTTTAGAAGGTTGGTTTAAATATATTAAGTGTTGGTTTCATAATTTACATATATTATGTAGATATAACCTTTACTTCAATCCACTTTGTTTAATTGATATTTACTCACATTTCTGAAGATCAATATATTTGATGGCTAATGCTATGTGGAAAAAGTAGATTTGAAGCAATTTCTTGATCGACTACAAATTGGATTAGTTGGTGGTAAGCTTGTTAAATATTTTTAATTCACACATAATAATTTTTGTTACTTCTATATTTAGAAATGCAATAATAATCTTTTGCCATGTAATTAGTTGCAATAATTTTTTTTTTGTTATGACTATAACACAATTCTTGCCATGTAATAAATTGGTTAGGAGATTCGATGAGTAATACAAAAAAAAAATGTTTCGACACCAATATGCTACAATTGCAACAAGTGGTATATCTGGTCCAATTCATGGCATAGATTTTCATCCCAACTACCCATTTTTAGCACCATTAAAGCTTTGCAAACCAAGGTACTTCACGAAAGATGCATACTGTTTCATGTTGTACCTACTAGACCGGTTCAAAATGGCAGTTAGTTTTAATTTCAAAGATTTGAGACTTACTTTGATTGACTGCATGAACTACCCAAGTGAGTTTAGATTCATGAAGTATTTCTTCTATTTGTTTAAGGACCTCGACCAGTGGTATTCCATGTTAGAGCCTATTTTTTGGGACCACGTACTAGAAGGAAAAGACTCGAGACTCCTCCTTCTAGGGAGGGATTTCTCATCAAACCCGGGTAATATCTGGGTCACCATTGAGTGGTTAAATTTCTGCAAGGTAGATGCTTGTAATCTGTTGTTTCAGGAACCTACCGAGTACATGGTGTTTAAGAGTAAAATGTTAACTGAGAATGGATTAGATGAGATGGAACAGCTGAAGTTAGTCATTGCAAATCCGTTTCGTTATTGCGACTATCTGGCCTAGTATGTGCAACATATTGAAGAGGCAAAGAGGGAGTTCGAGAACAAGAGAAACAACCCTAATTTTCACTAATTCTAGACTTTAGGATCTTTATGTAATGGTACCGCAATTTAAGGTTAAATATTGTGTAACTTGAATGTTTTATTGCCATAACTATTTGGTTTTAATTTTCACTAATAATTGTAAAAGTCCAAGGTCGTGTGCATGATTATTAAAACTACTGATATGTTTCAGGCTTCATTATAACGATATGAATCAAAAGTGCAAGACGGGTTGTCCTACAATAGACTCGCTCCTTATGGGAGGGATCCCCACCGGAGTGGTGATAGAAATATATGGCGAGAGTGGGAGTGGGAAAACACAATTGTGTCTCCAGCTTTGTCTTGTATGCCAAAAAATGCCTAGATACGGGGGTTTATTTGGCTCAGTTGTGTACATACAAGCGGTCAATCCCTTTCTTGTGAAAAGGTTAACACAAATAGCAGAATTAGTGCAAGGGTCACTTGGTCAGGTCGATAATCCTATGGAAAACATATTCGTGAAACAGATAACCGATGTTGATGAGTTGTACTTAGCTCTACCACAGTTAGAGGAATAAATAAATCGCTCCCTAGATACTTGTAGACATACGAGGGTCGTTGTGTTAAACTCAATTGGATCCTTGTTTAGGCATGACCATGACAACACATCAAGGGGATATGAAAGAGGGGATTCGGCTCTAAAAAGTGTGATTACAAGGTTAGGGCATATGGAAAAGGTTTACAACTTAGCAATTATAGTTGTGAATGAAGTAATTGATGTTGTAAACTCGAATGGGGAACCACTACACACCTATACTTCGGGAAGGAAGGTGAAAGGGGCTATGGATCATGCCCTTAGCCGAAAAATCCCAACTAGAATCTTAATAGGGAAACAACTTCCCATCAACGATTGTACGAATAGAGTGTTGTGCGTTGTAAAGCATTCGCATGCGCATTTACCTGGACGATCATGTGTATTCAAAATTACTAGCTCTGGGTTAGAGGACGTAAGAGGGTGTTAAGAAATAATGTGATGTGACATGACATAATAATATATTATGTCATGTATTGTGTAGCATATTAATGTATTAGTTTATTAATGTTTAATATCTTATATGTATAGGTTATATGTATAAATTATTATTACATTTAAAAAATTTCCTATTTATATTATGAATATATAATGTCGCATCAATTGTTTTGGCGTGATCAATTGCAATTTAACTTTTCAAGTCTAAGATAGAACTTTTAGACCAAAAACCATAACAGAAAGACTAACAAGGTACGTTTTTATTATGTCCATCTAACATATAAGTCATAGACACTCATAACAAGGTTTTAAATTAATAAACTTAACTTACTTGTCATATAAACCACATGTAACAATAGATTTTCATACCACCCACCCCCCTTTACTTACTTACTTGTTAAGAATTTAATAAATGAATTGTAGTAATATTTAGAGTGAGAAATTAGAGAGAGAGAGGAAACATTTACTGATTTTACAACACTCCAAGGCATTTAATTACCAAATTCAATTTATCAAAGGGCAGCAAGATGTCATTTGAGTACATGTCGTTTAATCATAAGTATGACTTGTTTCTTTAAGTGTACATAATGGAGTACATGTCGTTTCATCCAAAAACACGCTTTTAACCAATCGTAGTTTTTACAAAATTTAGATACAATAGAGTACTTACTTAAAAACACACTTAGATAATAGAGTACTTACAAAATTTTGTACATTTTAGGAACATATAACAGTTAGGAAGATATTAATCATAGTACTTACAAAATTTTGTACTTCTTTTTTAAGGTATGAGTTAGACAGAAATTTTAAATGCTTATTGGCAAAAAGCTGTTATAATTCCTAGAATTTTGTGTAAAGGTATATGCTTAGAGATTATTGATAGAGTTAGGCAGCTTATAAATTGTAAATGAAGTAGACAACACTATAAATGGTTAGTCACTCTTCAGTTGAGTAGGATTAGATAGTCTTGTTTAGTTCTAACTTTGGTGTTTGTCTGGCCTTGTATAGCTTGTTTGTTTCGGTGGAGGGCTTGCCCTCGTTGTTTTTTTATAATAAAATTTCTTATTTTTCAAAAAAAAAAAGAGATTGTGAAGATTAGCTTTACAACAGCAACGAACAATTTGTAGGGAAGATCAAGCGATAAACTTCGTTTGAAGAATGACAGCACAAGTTCTCAAATTGATTTGGATATTGAATGAATTTTTTGATTGAAAATTTTGGGGTTTTAGGTTGAAAGAGAGGAATGAAAGAAATGATAGGGAGTTGAGAGAGAATTTGAGCATGAGGGGATTTCTCGGAGCAACCCCCCAGGTTCCAGACCCAGGAGTCAACTTTCCCGGATAACGCTTGCATCCTCTGTCTTACTCTCCCCGAGTAAGGAAGAGTAATAAAATATGGTTTTTGGACCTCAGCGGCGGTGTAGGATCAAATCCCAAAGATAGTTGTGCTAAGTAGATGAAGGTTGTACTTAGCAACCATGCATTTAAATTGTATAATATTATGTGATGTCCACTTTTTTTAAATACCGTGATAAAGTGCATGTTGCAACTATAAAGAAACGGAAGAGGTACATTATATTGCACATATAATTATTTGTTACATAATCTTTACAAAAAACAAACAAAACATAATAATGGTATATGAGAAGCTTAGCAACCACAAATACGTAATATTACTTATTGAAGAGATTTTATACATTTATTGTATGCATTGTGTATGATCGAGATTGTGATGGATTAAAAAATGCATACTGAAAAATATTCATAATAGAGAAACACGTTTAATTCCCCTTCAAAATAAAAAATAGATGTAATAAAATCGTTATACATTTTACAAAATAAAATTTCAAACCAGTATTTTCTTATAAAATTTATCCAAAGTAAAGAGGTTCAGACAACATTATACCAAAACATCATTAAATACTTATTAAAAAAATCATCATTAATATACATATTAAACCACAATCAAAATCACCAAAAAAATCATCTCGATGAACAAGTTCAAACCAGCATATTACAATAAATTCATCTAGATTCAGAAGTTTAGATCAACATTATCATGAAATCTTCATCATCAAATACAGATTATACCAATAATTTTAACACTTTTTAAAAATAAACGCAGATTTATTTCATTTTAAAATTGAAAATCACAAGTGGGAGTTCGTGGTGGCTGGTGGAGTTTCGAGAGTGGGGATGGGGTTTTGGGGGTGGATGGGTGGTGTTTAGGTTGGAGGGGAATTTTTAGGGTGGCTGCGTGGAAATTTTTCGGTGGGGGTGGGCTTTTTCGGGTGGATTTCGAGGTAGGGGTGTAAAGGAAGGTGGCTGTGGGCGAGGCTGTCATTGAAGGTGACAGTGTTGTGTTGGTTACTGGTTAGGGTGAGATTAAGGTGGGAGCAGAGAAAAATAAAAATATTTCAAAAAAAATAAAGGAAAAATAAAAAAAATTATAAAACTAACTTGTAGACATATTATAAGTAAAAAGGCTTGTTTTGAAAAAATAAAGGGTAAATGTTGGCTCGTTCCTATAATATGCAAAGGTTACTCGTTTTTGAGTCAGTAGAGAAAATGTGGGATTATTGTTTTTAGTTTTTTATTTTTTAATTTTTAAGTCTTTGGTTTTTGTGAATTTTATTTTTTAAGTTTGGGTTGCTATTTCATCTTCACTATTGCACTTCCCACATCACAATTTTTTTGTTGCTATCATGTATACTCTTATGATTAATCTAGATAGATTGTAAACTTGTAAGACGTAAAATAAATCAAACATACTTGTTATTTGGGTTTCCTTTTTAAGATAGTATAGAGGGAAAAAATATGAGAAAGGAAAAATAAATATATGGCGAGTAAAAAGATTTGATCTTAAAACCTCTAATAAAATTAATATAACACTTCACCATCTAAGCTAAAGTTTAACCATGTTTTAGAAATGCAATAAATAAATAATATATTTACAGTAATTAACTTTAATAGTAGTACAATGTAGTATGTTGCCTTAATAATAATAGTATAATACATAGGAATATAGATTGTTTATGGGGGTTGTTAAACAACGCTCCCATTTTACTAGGCATCGCTCGCTTTTTTAACATGAATTTCCATATTTGCCCCTCATAAATAAATACCCACGACACTAACAACACTCATTTATGAAATCACATTTTACTCTCTTACTTCACTCTCATTTTATCTCTCTAAAAAATTTTTAAAAAAAAATTAAGTAAGATCTGAAAAACAAAACAAAAAAAAAATGTAAACATCCACAACCCACCACCGACAGCCACCAATCCAAGGAGGCGAGCAGAAATCCGGCAATGGCGGACTAGCGGCGAATGACGTACGGTGGTCAAGGCGGCGGCATTGGAGGCGACCAGGTATGGCTTTAAATCCAAAAAACAATCGCAATAGGTAGGATCCGCCTGAAAATTCCGGAAGAACCAAGGTTGATCCGAAATTTGTAGGCGGATCTACACATTCGCTTGAAATTTCCGGATGTCCGAGGAGAATCCGCCTGAAATTTCCAGATCCTCCTTGGTTCATCCGGATATTTTTGGCGGATCTACCCATTTGCCCAAAAATTCCGGATGTCCGAGGTGGATCAGTCTGAAATTTTCGGATTCTCCTTGGTTCATCCAGAAATCTAGGCAGAAGTCCAATTTTTTTTATTTTTTTTTTGTGATTAATTTTTTTAAAAAAATTAATTAATCTTATTATTATTAGTAATGTTATTTTTATTAGTAATATTATTATTATTGTTGTTGTTGTTGTTGTTGTTTTGTATTATTGTTATTAGTATGTTGCGAAATATGTGGTTTATAATTATTGTTATTATTATTATTAATATTGTTATTATTGTTATTGTTATTATTGTAATTATTGTTATTGTTATTATTATTATTATTGTTATTATTATTATTGTTATTATTATTATTACTATTATTATTATTATTATTATTATTAATATTATTATTATATTTTTTTTATTTTTTTTATCGTCCTTATTATTATTAATAATGTTGTTGGTGATGGTGTTGTTCTGAAATTATTATTTTTGAATATTAATATTTGTTGTTCAACTTTATTCATATAGTTATATTTGTAATTATTACTGATATTTGATTTTGTACTTATTTAATGTAGATGGAGGGTTTGGGTGCTCGTCATACAATATCACGACGTTTGAATGCTTCTGTTAGGAGGGAGTCATGTCGTTCAGTAATTACAGGGGCACCGCTTCGTCATTAGCAGCAATATGGGTATCCTAGTAGTTGGTCGGGAGAGCATCAGTCACAAGGGAGCCGCCCCATGTACTCGTCGGGTGGACTGCCTACATTTGACGATGAGGACGAAGAGCGGGCAAGTCATGATGATCGAGACGAAGAGTCGGACCATTACAACGCTCATACACCCGGTAACTTTGCCATTTATACGTAACAGTGGCAACTATATGTACTTCTCACCAATTTTCGATCTTGATGCCTCCAAACCATTACGATTGCAATGATCTGATTACCAATATGACAATGTACTCGGGCCCATACGGTATCCAAAGAACCTGCCGTTGATTCAGATTACAAAAAAAACATTATGATTTTTAATTAAAATTACTAAAACGAAGAAAAGACAACAACTACAACATTATAACAACGAACCAGTCGATGATTCAAACCACATCGTCACTGCCGAATGTTGGCTCTCAACTCTACAATTACTTGTGTTGCCAAAGTGAAGAACTTGGTTCGTCCAAAATGTCACAAATTTGATTTTATAACAAAGCCATGTTCTCTCAACGTAAGTAATCACTGCCGGATAACTTGCCCTCCTAGCTTTCACTGTATCTACAACAACATTATAATCCGCCTCGATTGTAACGTGCATGATACATTTCCATTTACCATTTTTAAAACTCGCACCAATCTTCTTATTTTTGAACATATCAGTCGCCCTAGCCTCCACATCTTTGTTGATGTGCCATCGACAAAGTAAATGCGACGACCCTGGAAACACTTCAACACAATGCCGCACAGAGGCCAAGTTCACGGTCTGACAAAAATACCGATGGTTCTTTATCATACCCAATCAACTACCTTAATCTCTGCAACACCCACCGATAGCTTGTCGTGCACTCGTTGCGAATGACCACATAACCAACGAGGAAATTTTGATTTGTCGGTGTTACACTACCTACTATCTCAAAGAACGGCATCTCGTATCGGTTGCTCTTGTATGTCGAATCCATACCGATTACATGTGGGTATGTGCGTAGTATGTTTACCGTGATTGGGTGCACCATAAATGCATGTTGCATAACGCCGAGGTCATCGGCCATGACCCAGTAAATATACCGACTCTGTCTCGCCAAATAAAGAAATTGCTGAACAACTCCTCTGCCTTCATACATCTCCTTTCTCAAGTCATTCCGGCAATTGTCAATGTGTCTGATGTTTGGATGATCATCAGGAAATTGCTCTACAATAGTTGTCATGATGTTACGCGATGCAACCTTAGACTTTGTCATGTCAACCACTAATTTTACGATGACCCTCCTGGTACACAATCATTGGATGGTTATGGGTCCTAGTTTCATCATTTTTTGCACGGATCTTCCAACTGTCTATGATGAATTCATAATATATCTTGATGTAGAAAGGACAAGCATTAGCTTTGGTTTTTGTGTCCTTTCGTATTGCGTTCTCAAAATCTCTCGGCTTGCTCTTCCGTCCCGATCACATTTCACATATCGATACGGCCGATCTTCTCTGGTTTTGTTGTAAGACGATTTAACCAATAAATCCCAGATTTATGGAAACAGCGTCTGCCCATTTAACTGCATCATCAAACGTTGTAAATAATGTGTCTGTGACAAAATTCACACTATAATTCACACCATTACTGCCGTCTTCAAACTCCAAATCCTATAAAAATAAAAGAAAACACACAAAATTCTCCAATATTATTTTTTTTATTACAATATTAATAACAATATTTATAAAACAATAATAATACTATAATATCATTAATCACAAGTTAAATAATAAGATTGATCACAATAATATATTTAAAACACTAATAATAAGCAAATAATAAATAAACCAACATTAACTAATAACACAACATTAACTAATATTTACAAAAAATACTAATACTAATTACTCAAATTATCACAAAAAAAATAATAATAAAAAAAAAGTACGAGGACTTACAGAATCCTCCGACGATGCCTCGGTGTACAATCGTTGTCGTTGTCCATCGTCCTAAACCCGTCGCTAAAACTTAATAATTTTTTTTTAAAAAAAAAATCGGATTTTTGGTGGTGGATCGAATGTGGTGGGGTTGGATGTCGTGGGGTCGAATGTGGTGGGCTCGGGAATTTTTTTAACCACGTGGTACTAAGTGGAGGGGTCGGAATAATATTATAATGCCCATATGTCTCATAATGGACCATTATATAGTCCAACTTACACAAAGGGCAATATCGTCCTTTCATGTTAAAAAGGGAGCGATGCCTTGTAAAATGGGAGCGTTGCTTAGCACTTGTTTATTGTAGAATTTTTGCTAAAATAAAAGCTATTTGCACATGGAAATATGGCATACTAGTAATACCTTCAACTCTTCCAGCATTCATTACGTCATTGCATGATCTAAAACTTTCCTATCACTCTATTACAAGTGTTAATAACACCACTAATTTTTTTTAATTAATTAAGCACTGACATTTACTTGCACTACATACTTCTACTCCGCTTACCTAAACATTACTATAAATGATTAGTATAATGCCAAATTGACTCCCCTCTTCTTTTTAACAATTCTAGTGTAATAAACTAATGATTAATGAATGTGTGAGTGTGACAATAACATTATAACACCCCTACTTCAATTAAATAATGCATCATTACATGATCCAACACTTTGTGACTAAGAAATTTATAATGAATAAAAAAAACAAGATATTAAATATTATCATTCTTTTTTCTTTAAAGAAATATTACATATTATCATTAATTAATTTTAAGAAATTTATAATGAATAAAAAAACTAGATATTAAATATTATCATTAAGAAATCAACTTTAATTTATTTCTCTGTTCAAAGTTTCCTACAAACACATGCAAACAAAATAAATGAAAGTGCAGTAGCAGTTACAAAATTGAAGTAAATAAAAATGGGGAAATTGTCATTGGTAATGGCGAAACTGTGACCTCGGCGGTGAAGTAAACAAAAGCGTACAACTTGGTTTATTCTCTCTCTCTTCCATTTTCCAATCTCAATCTCCTTTATTCCTTTTATATTTCTTTCTTTCTTTCTTGCTTTCCAGTTTGGTTTTGTGAAAAAGATAAAGATTTGGTTAAAGTTTTTCTTTTTCATTCAATCATTTCATCAAACAGTTCATCTACTACTTTGGAAAAAAAAAAAAAAAAAAAAAACCCCTTTTTCTCTCAGGTGTGTGTCTTTCTCTATCAATCTTTATTGGGTTGTTGTTTTTTGGATTGAGATTGGTTTTTCTAATGTTTACTGAATTGGGTTTTTTGGGTAAGCTTGAATTTTGCTAATTTTTAATTTCGTATTCTATCTTTTTTTTTAATTATTTAATTATTGAAGTGTAATTGGTATGCTCAGATTCTTGAAATTTGAAAATATGAAACAATGAATATCAGAGTGTTTGATGGAGTTGGGTTTCTCGGATAATTTATGTATTTTTTTCAAATTGTGAAAAAATGATTGAAACAAATAGGGATATGAGTTGAAAATATGAAATGATTGATATAGTGGTTTTTGATGGAGTTGGGTGAGTAGACAAAGAAAAAAAAAAAAGTAAACAAGAAAGAAAAAATTTGAGTTTGTTGGTAGTGAATTTGATTGATTTTAACTTGGTTTTATTCAATTTCATTTACTAAGTAATTGTGATCATTGATTAGGTATGTCACTATGTCTGTATGTATTCTAAATTGTGCTTGTTGTAAATTTTCACTGTATTTAATATAAAGGTAGGTAGGCTAGTTTCTGATTGAAAGTGAGTCAAATTAAGTTGAAACTGTAGAACTTATAAGTCTGAGCTTTTGACTCTGGGTTTTTAGACTTTCTACAACATTCATATTTTTCCTAGAAAATTACAAGATAGCTAGTATACTTGAGAAAGTTTTTAAATTTTCGTTTGTAAATTGCTTTCCCAATGAAGTATGCGAGGCAAACTTAAGAAACTTTTGCTGTCGAATGCATTACCATTCCTGCTGGTTGAAGGACAGTAGTTTCACTTGGGAGGGAGGGCAGAGAAAAAAAAATTGGGGGGGGGGGGGGGGGTTGTTAATTTTCCCTAAGTACGACATAGACTATAAAATGTCATGTTTTAGATTGTCCTGGTTGATACTACCGGTGTCGTACTATTTAACTGTGATAATGAATGCCATTGATATATTTTAATTCAATTGCAATGAGAGCATGTAAGTCATAACGTTGGTGTCTTTCCACTACATGGATATATGTAGTGGATACCAAATGCTTGTTTATTGGCGCCACAAAAACCTTTCCACTTTAAGAATTTTAGTTTGGGAACATGAAGAGGTATGTAGAGGGGTAAATGTTAGTGGGGGTTGAAAGGTTAACCATGTGTGAGTCTGTTCTGAAACTTATGGAAGGGTGTTGGTGTATCATCTGGCTTATTGCTCTAGATGGGTAATCAGCGAGTCAGCTTTTGGCAACAATTGCTAAAAACTGCATCAAGAGCTATGTACTCCTTGATTTTTTTGTCATTAAAAACTTAATATCTTAACGATGTATTAACACTAACCAGCACACCATTTTCACCGGTGATTTTGATGCCTGTGAATTGCCTTTAATGTTAGTGATGTACTGATGTGAGTTAGGAAAATTGATTTTCTTGTTTCCATTTTTCTTGGGTCTTAGCCTCAAATCATATAAATCCAATGATAGTGCGACTTTCAGGCATGCAAACTACTTTTACAGTGTATAAAGTTATGATCATTTACCTGACATGATTGTTATCTAGGTATTTCAATGGTGTGTACTGCGCAGCTATAAGAATTGGCCATCAACGTGCATAATTTGTACCTTTAGTTGTCTCCTCTTGTTGTCTCCATTAATGTGTCTTTGTTTCTTCTATAGTTTTACTTGATCATTGTGCCTAAGTCAACTTAATGGTTTATCCTGTTTACAGAAAAATTTGTTTCATGAAATTGAAGAATATGGAGCAAAAACAATTGAATTTCAACCAACCTATTCTCTCTGTGAGGCGTGGCTCATCACTAACTGCTCCACCTGAAAATAAAAGGAAGGATCTTGTTTCCCATTCAAGTTTGCCTCCTCTTCCATACTATAAATCAGAGCTGAAATCAGGTCCAGTTAGAAATCCTGGTGTTGTTCCTTTTAAGTGGGAGCAAATGCCAGGAAGACCAAAGGATGAAAACAAATCACGAAAAGTTACTCTCAAATGGCTGCCTCCTACTCCGAAATTGCCACCAGGGAGGATTGCAACTCATTTGCAAAAAGAAACAGATGAAGTCCAGAAAGATTCACCTACTTCTGTTTCGAGGTACCAAGCAGAAATCAGCGTTCCTCATTCGTTGGAGACTTCTTCTCCAGACAAGGACCAGCTGGATGTTAAAGGATCAGAGAAGGAAGAAGAAGAGTATAATTCTAGCTTAGAAGACGAAAATGTGACCTATGTAGATGCTCGAGATACACTTTCTAGGACTGAGTCATTCTATAACTGCAGTGTTAGTGGAGTGAGTGGACTGGATGGTCCAGAGTCATCTGGAGCCTATTCAGATCCTCAGACGCAAGAATTTATGATGGGTAGGTTTCTTCCTGCTGCAAAAGCTGTGGCTTCAGAAATACCTCCATTTGCTTCTAGAAAACACAATGTAGCCAGAGAGCAGGAAAAACCAATAACTAAAGTAGTAACATTGAGAAAGCAGTTCCCAGAATATTACTCAACTCCGGACACCTTGGTTCATAGGATCAATGGTGAAGAGAGAGATGAGGAAGCAGACGATGAGGATGAATCTGATGGACCAGAGGACTTATCAGTCAAACTTTGTGGTTTATTGCCAAGATTTTGTATGTTGAATCCTATACCAGGAATGAGAGATCATGTGGAAGTTATTTCCTCGGTCCGAAGTGTACGCACAAGATCTACATATGCAGGAGCATTTAGAGATGATGAAAACAAGGTAGGCATGAACAATGTGCTTCTCAAAATTATATAACTCAATTTAATGCAATTGGCCTAAAAAGGAAGCAATTTAAATTCTATGCAGGTTGGGACTAAAATTGAAAGAGGTGGAATGAAAAGAACCAGTCACCAATATGCTCCTGTTCCCACAAATGAATCATTAATGAATGTCCATTTGGTTCGCAAAGGCATGTTGCGGGAAAAGGTTGCATCACCACAGAGATTTCTTGATAAAGAGAAGCACTTTCTTGGTCTGCCTGGAGAACCTAGAGATCTCAGTGGCTATAGGGTAAACTCGCCTAAAAATGACTGCACAGAATTGGAATTTGCAGCACCTCCTAAAACCGATAGAATATCTTGTCTTGTAAATCCTGCAGAAGAAAAGACCTTGTATGTAGATTCTGAAAGAATGGTAGAATCTCGACATTCAAACTCAAGCTCGTCAGAATCCAGAGGAAGGAACCCTTCAGTTGACTATTCACTGCAAGATATCTGTGCTGATGAAAAAGCGATGACCCATTCTAAAAGTTCAGATACCACTTATTCTAGTGCAGTGTCTACTTCAGAGAAGTCTTGCCAGGAAATTGAGGAAGACATGAAAAGCTTGGAGAAAGTTGAGCAAAATGTCAATTTAACTATTGTTAAACAGCCATCCAAACCAGATGTTAAAAGCACAAAGCATTCTAAAAATTGCAGCTCTGCACTTGCTCTGACACCATTACTACCAAAGTCTCCATCTGAATCTTGGCTCTCTCGTACTTTGCCTTCTATGTCATCAAGAAATCCTTCTTCCAAGTCATATTTAGCAAATCATGCTTTCAGAGCATCACCTATGGATCCTAAGAGGGAGAGACTGCTGAAGGCCTCTAATCTGCATGATATGTTGTTCCGGTCTGCAGGGGTATGTTAATATTTTCTGCTCGCATAATCTTCAATTCATCATGCTGCTTATTCCTGTTTAACTATGATGATTTGATTTGATCGATTTAACACTTTTCTTATTCTTTTAGGAACTCGCACCAATATTGGAAAACTAGAGACTATTGGAAAGCAACTTTTTGAAGGCAGAATGGTTTGTGTCATTTACTATTCCCAAAAATTGTATAGTTTTATCAGCAAGTTCAAACAATTCAAATTACTAATTCAATCGAAAAATATATAATAGATAGGTGCCATTCTTTACTGTAATTAGAGCATATAGCTGGTTTCTTTGTATTCTGTTCTGCAGTCATCTGTTTGTCTACTGATTTGTTGCAACTTTTAAATGTAAAGGAAATTGGGAGTTATTTTTGCAAAAGAGAGCATTGTATATACCTTCAGGTACTACTCATTTGCATCGTCTTCCTTCTCCCTTCGCGAGCTTTTCCATGATAAAATTTTCCAGCTTTAATAAGGTCAAAGTCCAACTTTTCACTCTTTTGGAGAATCCAGCTTATTATACTTGCATTGTTAGATGTCTAACATAGTAACATTAGAAGTTATGTACTGTGTATCTTCAGCATGCATCAGAAGAATGCTGGTTCATAGTCATATCAAAATTATTGAGGAAAAATTGGTTTTATTACTTTCAACTTTGGGCCATTTACTATAAACAATTCCAATTTTAGGGGGCGCTTTATTTTAACAGACCAAATGAGTGGTAACCTGATTAAAAGATTACTTTTTATTTTATTTTATTTTATTTTCTTAAATGCCAAATGTCGCAATTTCATTAGTCAAAAACATTAAAAAAAAAAAAACACTACCCAACCCCCCACACCCTCCCCCACCGGATAACACCCCACCCCCTCCCTTTCCCGTGCAGGAACCTAGCCACCCTTACTACCCTTCCGCCGTCCCCAAAAATCATCGATCAACGCTTCCCCACCCTCGAAAACTCCCCTCTCCCTTCCCTTCCCCTAATCCAACACTCCATACTAGCTTGATTATACATTTAGGGACAAACTTTTTGATACCAAACTGGAACTCATATAATTATCATAACTTTTTTTTCCTGAAATAATATTATCTAAAACTATTAATTATTACCTAAGTTTATGTGGCGACAATAGTAATAGAATAGACTCACAATAGATTCGAATTGTACACCTGCCACATCATCATCACACAACTCTCTCGTCTATAAACCATTCACCAATTATCAAGAATAGACAAACTTATTTCATGGTTTAATGTATGGGAGTTGTTAAACATCGTCCGCAAATCTCCACATAAAGCCCACAAATTAGACATGCTTTGACAATTTTGCCCATTTCTAAAATCGTACCTAAAGTGAACAAATCTCGATCTAACAAATGTGGAGTCGTACTGGGTTGCCCAGGGAGACTGGAGGGGAGGCCGGAGAGGCGAGGGACGCCGGAGATACGTCGTCTTTGACGTAAAACGAGGTGGCGCCTAGTTTGGACGCCGGAACCATGGCAAGGACGTCCAGGCAAGGCGCCACAACTAGTGCACTGGCGTCCAGGACGCCACAACCAGTGCACTGGCGTCCAGCCCAGGCGCCTCAACCAGTGCACAGGCGTCCAGGCCAGGCGCCACCACCAGTGCACTGGCGTTTCTGCCAGACGCCGCCGTTACCGTTTAATTTTTTTTTTATTTGCCTTTTTTTATTTTGTTTTTGTTTTTTTTTTTAAAAAAAAAAATTGAAAATCCGAAATTCTATTAAAAACAGTTTTTTTTTTTTTTTAAATTTTATTTAATAAATTTATGTTTTGAGTTAGGATGTGGAAATTTATGTTTTTTATTTGATTTTATAAAAAATATATATACTAGACTTATAAAAAATAAAACATAAAATTAATAAATATTAAAAAAAAAACAAACACATTAAAAAAAAATAGACATAAAACAAAATTATTTAAAAGTAACACAAATTTTCTGATTTTCCAAAAAAAAAAAAAAAAAAAAAAAAAAATTTAAAAAAATATATATATAAGGCAGGTGGGGCGCCTGGCCAGGACGCCCACCCACTGGCGGTGGCGCCAGATCCGGCAGCCATAGCCAGTGGGCAGGCGCCTGGTTTGGACGCCTCTACCGTTGGCTGGGCTTCCAAGCCACACGCCACGCCACCGGCACTGGCTGCCGGAGCTGGCGCCACCGCCAGTGGGTGGGCGTCCTAGCCAGGCGCCCCACCTTCGCCGCTTATTATTATTATTTTTTGTTTTAAATAATTTAAATAATTACCTTGCCACCAAGTCGCCGCCTTTCCTCCGCCGCCGCCGCTGCCGCCACCTCTTTCCCTTGCCGCTTTTAGAGAGATGTAGTGAGTGGTTTTTTTAAAAACGAAAAGGGCAATAAGGTCATTTCAATACAAATTTGTGGGCTTTATGTGGAGATTTGCGGGCGATATTTAGCGATTCACTAATGTATAGGACCCAATATGATAAAATGTAATTCAAACGGAAAACTTTTTACTATTTTTGTAAAGGAAAAATTGGTAAAATATAATTTCAATTATGTATTCGCTTTAAATAATCCAACTTTGGATTATTTAAAAAAAAATCCAAAATTTGGGGTGTATTTGCTCAAATTGGCCCAAGTGACTAGTAACCTGTTAAAGAGATAATTTTTTTCTTAAGTTTAAGTGACTCGTGTCACCGCAGAAAAAAAAAAAAAGTCAAAATTCAATAACCCCCACCACCAACCGGTAACCCCACCATCACCTACACTCCCACCATCACCAACGTATGTTGCAACCTGCGCTCCCACGACACCACCTGCAGGCATCCAGAAAACACCAGCAGCCACGCATCTCCATACCCAGAACTCCCCTGCTCCTCACCACTCACGCCCACTGAACCAACGGCAACATCAAACACCAACTATCGCAGCACTGCCCGCCGTCACCACCAATTCGAGGTAGCAACCCGCGAATTGCAGCAAAATCAGCCGCTTGGTTGATGTGTGTTTGTGGGCTGGTGCTGGTCGCGGTGGAGCTGGCTAGGTTGTGGGGAATGCAAGGGTTGTGCTAGAGGAGGTTCGGCAGGCTTCTTGTGGTGGCTATTTGGGTGCAATTGCTGCTGGGCTGTCGGAGGTTGAATTGGGCTAGGCAGCAAGGGGAGGGGGTTGTGTCGATGGTTGCGCAGGGAGGGTACGTGAGTGGTGTGGCTGGGAAAGGAGAGGGGGGAGAGTTTTAGGGCTGGGAAGGAGAGGGTGGTGGCCGGAGGTGCTGGGGAAGGAGAGGATGAGGGTATTCGTGGTGGTTGTGGGAGAGTATGGTGGCGGCAGTGGTGGAGAAAGGGAGGCGATAGTGGTTGGTTTGTTATTATTTTTTTAATATTTTATTTTAAACTTCAAAAAAAAATTACCTAATCACGTGATGACACATGTCCCAAAAGCATGTTATAACAGGTTAGTAGCTGGTAAAGGACCATAGAAAGTGAATACACCCCTCGGATTATTTAAAAATAATTCAAAGTTGGGATTATTTAAAGCGAATACGTGAAAGTTGAGATTATTTTTACCAATTTTTCCTTTTTTTTTAAAGTTTAAAATAAAATATTAAAAAAATAATAATAAATCAATTCCTTAGGGGAAGACAAAGACGGTTTGAGATTGAAAAATGTACAAAATTATCCCTAATTTAATGAGTAAAATTACATGTATATACCCCCGGTATACCAAATATCAGACCGATGAACAAATATTTACTCCAATTTACTCCATCCAATTATCACCTAAGTAAAAGCAATCTAATCACTAATTTTAAACCCTTTTCAAACCTCTGCAAATCTAGTTAGTATTAAGAGATTTGTCTACAAACCAATGACAAACCTCTCATTATTAATTTCTCAAACTTGTTTTTCTTAAAATATGTGAAAATTAAATAAATAGAACAGGCTGTAAAAGTTGCATCATTTGAATTGTAATGTACAAGTTGAAGTAGTGAAGTTCCACAAAATAATGAGTTTGACGTGCTTGTTTATGAAGAGCACTTATCAACGAACTTTCCGCAATCCGCAGACGTACACTTTGGCTTAGTCCACACGACCACATGGCAATATGGGGGCTGCATAGACGTTGGGCAAGTCAACACAGTTACAGCCATTGACTCCTTGTGCTATTATGAAGTTATACCATTTGGAATATTTCTTTTTAAATATTGATATTTTTCATTACTCCTTGACTCCTTCCAATTTGTGGGTTACCTTTTGGGAGATACATATAGTGTTATTTGTTGAAAATTATACTGTAGTACAAGTATATTAGGACGCAATATGAGATAATTGAAAAAATATAAAATGAGAACGTGAGGGACTTATTTTGTTTATTTTAAGAAGAAGGTCTATCCTAGAAGGGGGAGATTTAAGGGAAATTCCTCCTAGAATGTGTTTGGTGAAATTCGATCCTTAACCTTAGGTCTAAGTTGAAATCCTAGCCAACTAATCTAGCCTCTTATCTCTATCATGAGATATTATTGAAGAAAGGATATATAATGAAAATTAGTATGGTATGTCTTCAGAAGGCAAAATGTGTCACTTTTAAAAAATAAAGATTGAAGCAAAGTGTGTCATTTAGGAAGAAAAAAAAATTGAAGAAATAATATGTACTTCCATCGTGTTTTTTTAAATGCCCCATTTTGACTTTTACACTATATACCACTTTGACTAATATTTATGATATATACATAAGATTAAATATAATCATATGAGTACCTTTTTTTTTTTTTTTTTTTTTTTTTGACGCACATATGAGTACTTGTTTACTGTTTACAACTATTACAATATATAGATACTTCCTCTGTTTCATTTTAACAAATACGTTTTTATTTTCTTCGCTATTTACATTAGTTACTTTGACTTCAATTTGTGGTTATTCTAAAGAAAAATATAGTCGAGTGGTTTTTTTTTTCTTCCGTCTCCATGTTTATTTTTCAAATATTAAAATTTTATAAGTTTTGGTTGAAAGTAATTGAAGTTAGTTATATCTATTTGCACGATCTTTAAGAAATAACTTTCACCACCTATATGGAGTATTACTAATAATTAACAAAAATTAATATTATAAAACTACTCATTAAGAGAAGTATCATCTTATCTCTCAGATATGATCAAAGTTTTTAAAATTTGACCATAATTTAGCGTTATGTTTATGGGATACAGCGATTACCGTCTACTAATTTAATTAACTACATCAATTATTTATTCAGAATTTCAGATTGTAGAACTTTTTAGAACACCTTGATTCAAACAACCACTTGACAAGCTTGTTTATGAGGCACTTATTATAGGTCAATTTACTTATATCTCAGACGGTCACTTTGCCTTAAATGCACGGCTTAGATGTTAAGAAAAAGTCAATACTAACCGCCATTGACCTTAGATCTCTCATAATATCAAACTATATTGTGGTTAATAAAAAAATAAATAAAATGTCATAGCTGTATTTACTGGAATTATTTATTTTATTTACTACTTATTTTTTGATAAATTTTTATTCAATTAAATTATGAATAATCTATTATCAAATTAAACTTTTCTGAAATATATGTTAGAAAAACATTTTTTTTGAGGGAAAAAAGTTAGGAATACTTTAAGAAAAGAATCTATCTATTAATATATAATATGGTTGTTAAGTTTACAAAAATCAACGGTCAATTTAAAATTATTGAAGATAAGGTATCATAATAATGGTAGTAACAATATAAATACCCTGCTCTTATAACAGAACATATTCTTCTTATTAAAAAGTTCACATCCAAAACAAGAGTTACAAAAAACAAGGAAAAAAAAAACATGGCAAGAATTTTGAGAGTTACAAGTGAAAATCATGTTGATATATTTAAGTTATGGGGTAGTAATTCCGGGGGTTTGATATTATTGATATGTTTGGTAATTATGTCTACTGCAATCATATCAATGCTTTTATTTGGTTGTGCTGATGGTTACAAGCCGGAAAAGCGTAGTCGAGGCAGGGCGAGGCGGCGTACAAGTGTTTATAGTGCTACCGGTGGCGATGCTGGTGGTTGTGGAATGTATGGTGGTCATCATGGTGGTGGTGACGGTCATGGTGGTGATGGTGGGGGGTGTGGGGGTGGGGGTTTTTGAATATTTGTCATTTTATGTATTTGTTAAATAATTATTGCTACGACTAGATTTTATGTTCTTTTGTTTTTTGTCCCACTAAAAATTGAGGTTGGGACTCTTGGGAGTTGAGTTAGTTGACTATAATGTGTAAAGGCAAATGTTGTTGGTATGTTTCAACTAGTTGTGTATAGTAAATTGATTAGATAGTTGCCATGTATATTCTAGGTTTTTTTTTTTTTTTTTTTTGAGTGGCCAATTACAATGTATAATGTGTAAAACCTCAAAATTCATCAATATATAATTGTCTTTTTCATATTATGAAATATGAATGCTTACAATCTATTTTGCATTCAAATAATGCTATATGATTATATTTGTTATTGGGTCGTCAGGAATTTTTTTTTTGCTGTAGCAGGTTGTTGTTTTAGGGACTTGCCATTTAGTCGGTACATTACAGGGTTACAACAGTATACACATTTGCTATTAGAAAGGTTTGTAGGGTTTTAGGGGCGGAGTCTGTGAAAGTGCCCTGGAAAAAAATGGTTTGATACACCTCTGCCTCGTCTATATCGACTATATGTAGCTCAACAAGGACAATAAAATCATGCTATCTAGGGTCGTGCAGCTATGCAAATCTATCAAAACCGCGACTTTTTTGTGGCTATTTAGGGATCAGTTTTAGGTTGGTTGGGTGTTGGGAGAGCTTCTGGGAATCGGGAGGATGAAGTACAGTATCAGCTGACTGATTTCAACACCAGTTCTATTTGTCGTTGAGTTTACAACATGACAATGGTTTGTTATTGCTATCTAGGACCGCAATCCAAAGGTTGTACCAAGACTATACCGTTACGGTGAAGCAGTTGTAGGAGCTTTGTTTTTGTTCATAGTATGCAGATTAACAATCTTTCTCATACAGTGTATCAGCTCAGTTGAGTTTACGTTCTTTGAGTTCGTTTTGTTTTGTTTTGTTCAGACCCTTTAGAATTATTATTTTTCTTGGTTTCTACTGCTCTTTGGAAATCAATAAAAATCCATTTTACCCAAAAATAGTAAAAAAAAATAAAATTAATATATTGTCTAGTGTTGTAATAAAATATGCCTTATACATTTTATTTTTAACAATTTTGCATTGGCCTCGACGCTTGAAAGGTATCCTACAAAGGTTCATGGGATATACAACCTTAAAATAGCAGTAACTTCGTGTACAGATTTAATTATTTTACTGTTTCAAGTGTCTTCTTCAGTATAAGCAAGTATTATACTGTAACAAATTTTCAGAAAATAAATGACCCACTCCTCAAATTTCAAGAAATAAAAAATAAATTAAAAAAATGGTGATATTAGAAGCAAAATTCAAGAAATTAAGGCCTTTTTTGGTAGAAGGGATTGGATGGAAAAGAAAAACAAATGGTTCAATCATGTTCCCGTATTTAGTTGAATAAGTGACATGTAAACTCGAAGGTAAGGAAAGGATGTGAGAGGAAAGTCTCTTTACAAATTTTTAGCTTTCATTTCCTCTCAAAATTGGAGGAACTCAACTGAAAAGAGAAAAATAAAAGTTATACATTATAATTTTCCTTTCTCTTTCCTTCATTTCCTTTTTTTAACAGTGTGTTTGGATAAAGAAAGGGGAAGGAAAGGAAGGAGAGGGAAAAATGGTGAGTTTTTCTTTCAAATCTCTCCATTGTTGAAAGTATCAATTTCCTACAATTTAATCCCTCCATTTCTCTCCCCTCAAATTCCCTTCCTTCCTCATTTGTTATCCAAATAAAAGATATCTCATATCTCCATTTCCCTTCCCTTCCTTTCTCTCCATTTCCTTCAATAAGTAAATATTGAAAACTAAAATCACCTTCCTATCCCTTCTGCCTTCTCTTCCTTTCTTTTCATTTCCCTTCCTTTCTCTTCTTGTCTTTTTTTTTTTCATTTCCCTTCCTTTCTCTTCTTTTCCTTTTTTTTTTTTTTTCCATTTCCCTTCCTTTCTCTTCTTTTCCTTTCTTTCCCTTCTCTTCCTTTCTTTCCCTGGCATATTTTAAAGACTATTAAGAATAAAACCAATTTGAATAAGATTTAAAATGCTCAAAATTACATGGTGCATACAATGGTAATTTCTGCAAACTCGGTAATGTAATAAACAAATCTACGGAGAAATTTTTAAATACAAGGTGGAAATTAACCCTTCCTCAGTTCCTCCTTCCTACTTCAGTATAGCCCATCAACATTTACAATGGCTGCGTATCAGTTAACATGATCAGTTGATAATAGTACAGAAATTACAGCTGCGCAGACTTGGTTTCTGCCTGAGGAGCTCTATCTGATGGCAGCAATCTAAAACACGCTGTAGTTCACTAATCATTGATACTTCAATACATCTCAAATCAACCATTAGACAAAATTATCTTCCTACTTGTATGATATTGGACCAGATCTTGACACAGCAAACCTTGGAAGAGGACTAGGCCCTGTGCTTCCTGAGGTTGATCCCTCATTGAACTTCACCTTACGATTTGAACTGTAATCTAAAGGCCCAGAACCTCTTCGGTGTCTCCGATCATTACTTTGGATACTTCCACTATCAGCATCATATGACTGGCTTGAAGGTTGTTTGAAATATCCTGACTGATCAGAATACGGCTGAGTTGAATCACTTCTGAGGTGTCGGAATGCAGGAGAATTATGCATGAGAGATACTCCAGGTGAGCTTCGAGGTGATGATAAATTTCGTAAAGTCAATGGCAATGACGAAGAATTCCCATAGTACTGATTATATAATGAGCGAATAATAGAATATGGGATGCAGGCTTCCAGTGAGCTTCTTGGGAGATGAGGAGAAATTTCACACAGCTGGTCTACGAATACAAGTTTGGGTGCTAGATCGGATCTGCAAAAGATTCAAAAGAGTGCCAATCACAATGTTCTAATGTCACAGTTAATATGTAACAGAGGAGTAAAAGTCCAGGTTAGCAGAGTTTGCCAGGACTGTACACAAGTGATAATATCATATTTGTGATCCTTTTTAAAGCTATTTGACTTGTACAGCATTTCTAATAAAGCAATGGAATTTTCTATTTAATGTAGCAGGCAGATTCAGGAGATTCAGCAGTCCCACTGTAAAGTTGAAAGCCTTTTATCATTTCATCCTTGGGTGGAATCAGCAATTACTTACGTTTATTTCCCCTTAATGATTTCAATTTTATCTTAGATTGCAGCATAGACGACTAGTGACTAACAATATATTTAGCCATCAGCAAAAGTTTAACATACACATCTATAGTACAACCTCTTCAAGTCCTCACAGAAACCAGTACTTATGACGGGCATTGGTTGACAGAAAGCAAACCCTTGCAAATATTTTAAGCATCCCTGAAGCCCCTAGACAAAAATAAGAGGTTATTACCAGACTCTGTATATTTCCAAATTATGGTATTATAAGGGCTTTAATCTAGTCAACTATTGTTTCCTCGGTTCAGAAGCAAAGAAAACTGATGGCTCAACTAAAGTTTATATGTTGACGGCTACAAATCAGCTGACGAAGGTCATGCCTTTTAGCAACATGAATTATTTAAAAAGGTATAGATATTCTACACATTTAGCACCTTAATACAAATATATGAACAGATCCAGCTACACTGGATTAAAAAAGGGGCAGAATCAATACAGAATAGAATAATAGTGTGTATATAATAGATGGGTAAGTAAGATTGATTCATTGATTTAGAAAAGGACCCAACAGAAGGATAGAATTATGACCATACCTGTTAGCTTCGTGCCAGCAGTCCAAAATCATCCCAGCTGACATTTTTACAAATAGCAACAAAGTAGACTTGGCACTTGCTTCAGCTGTTAATGAGCTCTGCATCTGACTTTGCAGACTCTCATCAACGTGGCCATTTGCCATCTGATTTTCCTTTTCCATTCTGACATATTCATTTCCAGCAATCACTGCATTTATGCACCTGTATGACAAAGTAATGTATTTATAGAATGAAATCAATACAAATTTGAACTGGGTTGCAATAACAAGTTAATGATACAAGATTGGGGTGGATTCACAAAACGATTTATGTACAGAAGTCAAGAAAAGGGAGAGCAAATTACCCCTATATTAGCACAAACTTCATATTAATAAAAATTAAAAAAAAAAAAAAAAATCAAAAATTAAAAAAAAAATTAAAAAATAAAGAAAGAAATAGAAAATTAAATGTTACAATAAGTATGCATGTGACAAGGAAAAAGGATCATCAACTCATCAATGACTGACTAATGCTTGGTCTCAATATACATACCTTGCCAAGCAATAGATGTTGTTATTGAAACCTCCTGTATCAATATTGAATGTTGTTGTATTCCAGACATTTGATGACATGAAAGCAGAAAATAAATAAGGCAACAAGTTCCATGAATTATCATTTCCAACCCCTATGTCTTCCATTATTGATCTGACAAATTCTGTATCATGATCACCCATGATGCCTATGCTATTTGCCACCTCTTTCATCCTCCTGATATCCGTCTTTTCTGGAACTTCCATAGGCAAATGTGGCACAATCCCTTCCAGCAAAGAATATATCAACGGTGCATCTTCCTTGAGTACATCACCAGCAGCATCTGAAATAAGCTGATCAAAGGCCAAGGCTTGTCCTGCTTGAACACAAAATTCAACCAGTGTGTCCAAGTCCACAATCTGCTTTGTATTAGCATCACTTTCTATGCGATCACCAGCGTGCAAGCTTCCTGCAATAGCCTCCAAGATATCACGGTTTGACCGTAATGAAGTTCCAATGCAATTTAAAAGTGCAGCAGTGTGCTCTTTCATCATTTGCTTCAACTTGTCAACTCCATAACCGCCAAATAGACGAATGAAAGCTTGCAATTCCTTAAAGTCACTTACAGACTCAGCAAAGTATCCACCAATGGGTCTTGTACTTCTAAAACATTTGTGAGCAGGCACGAATAGGACACCAGCTCCTGATACATCTTTTACAATGTTTTCAATGTACCAGTTGCAAATTGTTTCAGCGGCTAACCCTGTATGTTGATTGATGGGTTTGTCAAACAAATGAAGGGATGATACTGGTCCAGCAAAGGCTTCTGCAAGTAAAACTTCCCGGATACCATGGGTTAGGTCCATGCTGATATGCTGCTCCGCAAGATGGATTATACTCATCTGCCTGCGAACTAGAGATTCCAGGACAGAAGGACGCTGAAGGTCATTATCAGTCTTAAGAACTGAAAGCAGTCTCCTTCTGAAGTTCCCAAGAATGCATTCCCTCATGTACTGCAATTTTAAGAAACATGTTAGAACTAAAACACACAAAGAGCCTACAAGGATGCACATAGGACCATCAGTAGTGAGGTTTCCACCAAAGCAAAGGACGGTCAAATGTATGACCATGATTTGAGTGAGATTGTATACTTTATAACATTCATTATTGAGGAGCAATAAGGGTTTCTAAATGAATTAGTTTGGATTTCTCCTTTATTACCCCCTCTAAGAAGAAATGCAAGACTCCCGATATAAGTTGAATATTCTTTATCGGTTTAAAAGGGAGATGAATTTTCAAGTTGGAGTTTTAAGGGGACAATGACAAGCCTGAAGCACTTGCTACCCCTATGAATAAATACTACTGAAAGCGAAGAGATGATGCCATAGTGGTGTAACTTCTTTTTTCTTTGAATTGGAATAATTTCACTTTCCATCACAACAAAATTGTTGCAATTTCCAGAAAGATTCTTTCAGAATAACATCCCAACAAGCAACAGCAACCAGGCATCATTAACCACCCACCAAAAAGAAAAGGAGGTTTTTTCTTAAGTGATGGGTATATAAATATTTAATACCCAAGGGATGCATTGCCTGCAGAAATTACAAGCTTTGACAAGCCTGCTTAATGTATCTAGGGAAATTACATTTCCTTGCCTAATACTCATGAGAAACAACATAATTAATTTGCTACCATTTCAGATGTTGACCTTAGTGAAACACAATTTGTAGCCTTCTGCTTCCTCTAAAACATAAGTCCAACTTTTACAATATGTTTCGATAAAGAAAGGGGAAGGAAAAGGTCCATCAAAATTCTACTATCATGATTCTCTCTGGTTTTCTCTCACTTTATCGAGCCAATGCACAAGTTTGACGTTAAATACACAATTATGTATTAATTAAAGACATGAAAACAAAATAAACAACAACAACAACAAAGCCTTAGTCCCAAAACAATAACATTTGATTTTTACATATTAATAAAAAATGTAGTCAAAGTTAAATATGTATAGTGTCAAAATCAAATTGCTGTGAGTATTTAGGAACAGAGGGAGTAAGAGAAAAGATGGATCATAGGTCTCCTCTCCTATTTGTAAATGTACGACAACTTCTATATACATAGAAATAGGAAATGGAGTACTCTTTCTAGCATATGCATCAAAGACAAAAAAAAAAAAAAAAAAAAAAAAAAACAAAAAAAAAAAAAAAAAAAAAACAAATTTGCCATGCCATGAGCAAGCAAGAACTGAAACAGCAGGCAGATGTCTCACCTCTCTCAAAACAAATACATGGTTCAATACACATATGGGCTCCATGTCATTAAGAACAGAGCAAAGATTTGTCAACCTCTGCATGGCAGCTTCTAACCTGATACAGAAGGGATTAGATATTTCAGCTTTGTTGTTTAAATTTTTTGAGTCCTTGGAATTTGTCCTAAAAATATAAATCTACAAGAAAGAGGCCTTACATCTTAATAGAATTATTATTTTCAGGATAACTCTCCTGGCCAGGCATTCCAGGTAGTCCTCTAGGGGATTTGTTTGTTGGGATAGAATGCCTTGTTGAAGAATTTAAGTAGACAGCTGCTTGCTCTGGAAGAAGCTGAAATATATAAATCCCAATCCTGTTACAAGGAACTTCTTAAGCAAAATTATAAAATATATAATATCTGGTCCTAACCTGCATCTCAAGAGAACCAAATCCTCCTTCGGAATCAAGAATATTGATTAAACCTTCCAGCCCACCCATGATTGACTCAATTAGAGACTCAACATAAAGAACTGCATCTCGTCCAACTTTTGTAACCTGAATTTCAGAAAACAAAAGTTAATCTTCTATCGTGACTCCTAGTCAAATCAACCCAACAACATACACATATAATAACCTCTTTGAATACCACATTCTTTTTCCCTTCGTGGAATAATCTACAAGTAACACCTTGTAAGCAACCAAGGCTACTTCCAATATTTGAAGGCGCTTTGTCAAAGAACTTTTTCCTAAAGATTTTACAAGAGAGCAACACCCTATGTTTGTAAATAAGAAATTTTCCATTAAGTTTCCCCAATGTTACTCAGGGGGAGTGTCGAGTTCGGGTACATACCCAAGTATATGAAATGTTAGGGTTATTAGACACGGGGGATTGTCCTAAAATAGGACACGAGTGAGAGGGCATGACATAAAAGAAACCTATTTCTAGTTTAAGGAGGCTTTTTGCTTAAATTATGACGTAGAAATGCATATACACACATTTTAGGCTGACCTCATTGTTAATTTTGTTGTAAAGCTTATCCAAAGCCTATTTGTGAGCACATATTGCACATATTCTTCTTTTCTGTCCTATTTCTACTTATCTTCTACAGTTATCTACAGTTATGTGGTTCAAATGATTGAAGTGTCTAAGTGAGCATTGAGTGTCAGGTAAGATTCCATGCCCATTTCTGAAAGAGTAAACAATGGCTTGAAATAACATAGTCTCCCTTATATACAACAAAATTCCATCCCTCATATAATCAGCTGATTTTCACAATAAGCAAGGTAATCTTATATTTTAATGTCATAGGCTAAAGAATCTTTCTGTAAAATACCTCCTCAGGAACAATGTGAGAAGCACACTCTGGGAAACTACTTGCAACACCTAACCATGCACAGCAGTGTTGAGGACGTCCTTCAGGACCAAACATGGTGTTTCTGAAAACCTGTAGCAGTAGCACATCAGTCTCATTAAGCTACATGTCTGACATAGATTTAATAAACTGACAGCAGAAACTTATAGCTTCTAGTAAATTTTTCCATTCTGCACAGGAAGTGAGAACACACCGATGTAAGATGTTGATGATAAAAATACAGTTTCTTGAGGCTTCCATGCTTCGCAAGCTGTAATTCAAGTTCATCAACACATCTGCACATAAAAATTCAGATGTAAAAGATGCTTATTCACAGTGTACATTCGATAGCAAAGGGTACAACTCCCCAAGGTTTACATGTGCTCCAGTTACTCCTTAGTTACCTTTAGCTATATGAGGTGAATATCAGGCTACAGAACCATATACAAAAAAAATAAATAAATAAATACACAACTATTTTTTAATTAGAATTTAGAAACAAGAAAACCTCAACAGAAGAACTAATCACAATTGTCACAGTTGTAACTTACAATCATCAAAAGAGAGAAATGAATGATAGGCATCACCTGGACCAATTATAGGCAGAATTTCCTTCTGCTAATAAGCCTTCCTTGCCAGTAGAAACAGTAGCTTTCTCCAGATGTCTTATATTTATGGATGACCGAGAGGAAGTGACAATCATTAACACTGACAACCAATCTTTACGCAAATCCTGAAAAAATACAGAGCAGGTAAAGCAACAGCAAAGAAATCACGGCAAATATACAAAAATTAAACCATGAAGATAAAACCCAGCACACGGGGAATAACTCAATCACATAAAAAGCGGAATCTTTTATAGCTTATAAATAACTAGGAAAATTATTAAGAAACTACAAGTGAATTTAAACAAAGGGCCAATCGCGGATTAGTATGGGTTCAGCTGAACCCAGAAAAAAATTGATCAGTTTTTTTTTAATAAATTTAACAGTTAAACTAGTTAAGTAAAATAAAACGGGAATTAGTATGTCTGCTATTGTAGCAGCGCAGCAGTAGGACCTTGGCTTACCTAACTCATAGGTCTTGGGTTCGAATATTGCTAAGCTCTTTTTTCTGGTTATTTTTTTTTATGTTTCTACTACTTGTAGTTTTAGTTTTCTTTTGCTTACCCATATACCCGATCACCTGGCCCCCCCTCCCCCCCCCCCCCCCCCCGCCCCCAAAAAAACAAAAAAATGTTAACCCTTTCAAGTTCGAGTAAAATCTAACAGAATACATTCCTAAATCCCATTTCCTATCTAATTTTTGAGAAGATACAAGTTTATCTTCATGATAAACAAAAAAGCACTTATCTGGTGGCATTTCTGTAAATTAATCAAAAACTTTCATTAAATGTGAACCCTGTTAATGTTGATTTATTTAAAAAATTGTCATGCTGACTAGGATTTTATGTTGATTTATTTAACGTTTTTTTGTTTATCATGAAGATAAACTGGGGCTCCCTCCTAATTTTTTTCTTACAAAAATATAACTTCTAGTCCATGAAGACTGGTTGGGTTCATTTGGTTATTTTTTTTTTTTTTTTTTTTTTTTACATGTGCACACTCATATTATTATTTTAAGTTTGTATTTTGGATTATGCTACTTGCTTGTACTAGATTTTACCACTGTGTTTGTAGTGTTTAGTGACTCCGAACCCATAACGAACAATTTCTGGATCCGCCACTGCAAGATATTTAGGTAAAAAGTAATCAGCTTACCAAGAGCAATCTAATACACATACACTTGCAAGATATTAGATCCGCCATGAATTTGCGGTATTAAGGAAGCTAAAAAGTAAATAAAGTATCGTCAGGCTAGTTGCTACCCAGTCAATCAGTCCTTAAAAAACATATTTATCACATTCTGTAGCATAGTATCTCCTAGATCCTATCTATACTTTGTTATACTGCCATGGTAACATTAATTAGATTTGTTGAGGGGATAGAATGGAGGAATACAATAACAAAAAGGGAGGCAGATAATAGAATAATACAGACACAAAAAGTCTTTCCTTTTGAAAATTGCTACAATGGTTGGCAATGTAAATGAGCTGTAAGAGTTAAATTACATGTTCAGAGGAGAGACCTCACCCGAAAAAACTCGAGATCTGAACATATCTGGAATTACATCAGAATATATTAACTTACATAAACATATCTGATATCTGGACTTGCTAAAACCTATTTGAACATATTTGCATAGAAATTTATTGTTTAAGGTAGAACAAGACCAACCTCATAGCCTCATCAGTAAAACAATAACATAGGTAATACTGTAATAGAACTTTTCAAGGGGCTCTAATTACTTTTAACTAACTGAGATGAATTAAGCCCCTCCATCAAGTCTCTTCTTAAATGCTGGTTCTACGTTAGGAGTTTGGTCATGCCCTAGATGGCTTTGATGTACTCATTTACTCATACATCAATAACACAAGTTTTGATCACAGAACTTGCTTATGCACTCATTTAATGTGGATCAATACTTGAACTGGCTTAATTTGAAAATCCTTCCGCATCTTGGCTCACAAAGAAGCAGCATCACGCATAAACATAATACATATGAAGTATTAAACCTCCATAGAAAACCAAGAGCAATCTAATACACATACACTTGCAAGATATTTAGGTAAGCTGATTACAAAGTACATCCTTAATCATCCTGACACAAACATTTTTGGCTAATCTATAGATAGACAGCTAAAACCAGTGTGACCCAAGTCACCCAACATTTTCTTCCAGAGTGTTCATTCAATAAATTCAATAATCTTCCCAATATGAGGTAGCAAATGGCAAACTCATACCCAATCTCGTAGTAGCAAGTTAGTTAACTGTGGTCTCTACAAAAGCAAGAGAGTAATGCACGTAGCACATATAAGTGAAAGAGCTGTTTGAGATTTATGCATCTGCAATCGCAATTGACAATAGCATTGACTTTCTCAAAGAAACCAACACTAGAAAAAACCTCAAGGCACTTTAAGACCTCAGGAAATGAAACTTTTAGCCCACTTTTAGCAAGTAATGGTAGTGAGACTACAGAAGAAAACAAAAAGGATGTCCTAAATGACATTCTTATACAGAAGAGTTCAGAAGAAAAATAACAGAGTTCACCAGTTTCCCCAATCTCTAATTTTGACAGCCCTTCCTCAGATTGAACTCTTAAGAAGGAACAGCAGCATCCACATGAAAAACTTTCAATGCAGATCCCAAGAGGTGGAGGTGTATATGGCTTATCCCTTATAAGTAGGGGGAATGGTGGGGATTAAATTTAGTCAAAGAAGCACTAAAGGTAGAGTAAAGCAATAGAGAATAGGTACTCTGACAGTCTGACTACTCTCTGCCAATAACTGCCCTTAAGTTATAGATAAAGATATAGAATCACATTTCTATTTCCTAGCATAACCAAATACCATCCAAATTACCCAGTCATTAATAAATTTTCTGAGATCATATATATTTACAATTGATTGAATTAAAAGAGACCTTGCTAACTGCATTGAATCCCATACTTCGGAGCAAGAAGGAAAAGAGTAAGGGGTGAATAGGAGAACACAAAATGAATAGCTACCAAGGAGTTAATGTAAAGTTAAATAATCAAGGGCAGCATTATACATGATCAATAGCAATCAATGGCTTGCTCAAGAGCGGAGCAAAAATAATTAGATGAGCATTATTCTCGTTTTAGCTAAGCAGAAGATTTTAATTAATTAAGACATTTGATGGGTAAAACACATACTCAAACTGTAGCATACCAGAGGAAAAATAAACAAACATTAAGGGAAGGGGAAGAAGAGAAAGGGGTCTAGCTTTTTTAGGATTACTTACAGATAGATCACAAGTGATAGCAGAGATGTCTTCACCCTGTGGTTTTGGTATCTTTTCCAGGTGCTGAAGTATCTTCTGAAGAAGTCCTTTTAAGTTTGAATCAAGGTCCAGTGCCACCATTCCTGGAGTTCCCAGCAAAAAACGAATTCTACCAGCACAGGATGACAGATAGGATAGTGCATAACATCGGATTGCTGCATTTCAATATGAACAAAACTTAACATCAATTTGAATTGATTCTTCTTAAAAACGGATAAAAAATCCAACGATCGGTTAGTAAACTTTGATGAGAGAAATACTTTCCATAACCACATACATATATTATCATCAAAGTCCATTAATGAAGATTTATAGGGCCCAGATTGGTTCTTAGTTCTTAATTTAGGGTTATGGTTCTTACCAAATCCTAGTTTTATATATCCCAATACCATTTATTTAATATCCAATTGGTATTACTTCATTCTATGTATGGCTTCCCCATATTACCACTTTACCCCCACAATATTCATAATTATCCACTCACTCTCTCTTACTTTAACAATCTTTATATATACATAGATAAGGCTCTTGTGAGAACATATATTAGGTACTATATAATAAAAGAACAAAAATAATTTCATTTTTTTCTACAAATTGATAATATGGAAAAACTAATAAGTTTTTAAGGGCAATAAAATTGTACTGTTCACCTGAAGACTCTAAATTATTAATAACTAAGTATATTTAAACACGTATTAAGTTCATATTCCAAAATATAAGTCTATTAGATGAAGCCCGTGCAATGTAAGATTTGTTAGTATTTTTTAAAACAAATATTTTTTTTTTTTGTATTTATGTGATGGAATTTGTTATTTTATTCGTTGTACGTAGTATATCATTTAATATTTTTAATTTAAAATAAATTGTGAATTCTTCTCATTCGTTATATATTTAGATAAAAGTCTTAATCTCAAAAAATAATATTTTATATTTATTTAATTTAAACTTTAAAATCTCATTCGCCAATTTTGCTTATGTGGCATTTGAATTATTTAATTCTAAAAGAATTTACAAATCTCTTATTTAATTCTAAAATCTATAATCCTACATGGCGTGTTAGGAAAATTTTATCCTACGTGGCTCTTAAAAAACTCGGGAAAAACTCCCTTTTATATATATACTAGTTTTGTGTCGAGGGATGCCCAAATAGTTGATAAAGGTTTAGGATAAACTTTGATTGAATGTTAAATACACTCATATAATCCCTTTTGATAATGCAGGATATTTAGACATACTACTGAACTAAAATTATATTTTATTGAATTGAAATTATTTTTACTGAAATGAAAGTATTTTTACCAAAACTAAAATTAATTTTCCTGATTAAAACTTATTTTCACTAATTCTCTATTATTTTTGTAAATAAATTAAATATATTATAAATAGATCTTATTTTAAAGAACTTTTTAAAACGGACTTTATGATGGAAATAGTACTGAATTATAGGATATTTATTAAAAGTTATAATTAATAATGTATATATGAAATATTAGAATTTTATCGATAATAAAACTCTATACAACATTTTTATCTTTAAAAATCTATCCAAAAAGTATATCGATAATAAAACTCTATACAACATTTTTATCTTTAAAAATCTATCCAAAGTTCGTTTATTTAGCATCATATGTGACACAATAATACCTATTTGTCGCCTACGTGGCGGTCAACTTGGCGAAAAACTGGAATGCCAAGTGTCGCTATCTCGTGGTCTTGCTTTAGTGATATGATATTAGATTATTCTATAAATTATTGTATATATTCAAAAACTAGACTAAACAAAGTTTTTTGTTCTAAAAACTATGTATATGTTCAATAATTTGACTTCTATATTCCAAAAACCAATAGTTGATTTGCATGTCTTTTTTGTCACAACAAAAGATATAAAGAATATAATTCCAATATTTTGAAATTGATAAATAGCAATACTAAAGTTTAGGAGACTACAATTAGAATAAACTCATATTATCAGATTACGGCTTGTGTTTCAAATAACTTTATACATTACAATATGGCCTTTAGAGTCCAGGCTATGTGCGTGGCTAAAATATTGTTGTATGTGTTTAAAATTTTTTAGACATTATTCTAAGCCTTTAGAGTTTAGAGTCCATATTTAATATATTTAAGTATATTGTTCTAAAAAAATATTACATTTTTCTAGCAAACTTTAAAAATAAATCCATTATCTTTCCTTCTTTCCCTACTTAATCTTATGTATACTTCTCTCTATTGAAATTATGCATTTGAATGAAGATATCTAACCTCCAAATCTATCAAATTCCATACAAAAATCAATATTCTCTCTCTTCATCACCTTTTCATTTTATCACCTCCAATAGTCTATTCCTCAAATTTACATCGTATAATTCGATATTTGACTTTTTCTATCAAATTGTTCATATGTAGAAGCTTTTTCTGTGAGATTTCACATAAAAAATAAAATAAAAAAAATATCAATCAAATATAATCATTGAAAATCGAGAAAGAAATTACAAAGAATTTTGGAGAGTGAATATGGGAATCAAAGTTATTGTAATATGATTTACATGTTCTAAAGATGAATATTGTAATAGGCAACAAAAGTTTGTTTATTTGTAGGCCTTTGGATTATGAAAGATCTAATGGTTGGGATTAGTCACATTCATTGATGGCAAAATTGTAAATAAACAACCTTTGGTTGTTCAGTTGATAGATACATTTATCGAACATGAAAAAATCATATCACAAGAATTTCATTCTCCAAAATTTCCCCTATTTTTATATCTATAGTTTTCATCGATTATCTCCAAATATCAATCAAACTTCTCATATTCCACATAAAAAGCTTCTACAAATGTAAAGCTTGATAGATGAGCTCAAATTTCAAATTGTATGATTTATAACTGTCAAACATTCTGAGTTTAACACATGAAATTGTAATTAAAAGAAGGATTTTTTGTGAACCACTACCATTTACTTTGAACTTTTTGTAAACAACTACCATTTAAGTTTTTTTTTTTTTTTTAAAAACAACTACCATTATTTGAAAATTTGTTTGAGTACCACTACCATTTAACGGTAACTGTTAAAAAAACCGTCTTGTAGGGCCCACCTGAATTAAACCCTAACCACCCACCACTCCCCCACTAGTCCACCACCATTGACCCCACAAGACCACCAACTCAACTAGCCACCATGAAACCCCCCTCCTTCCTCTTCACCTTGACGTACTCCCATTCTCTCTCTTCCGTGCCTTTGGCTGCCAAATTCCACCCTTGCGCATCACCTCTTCTTTCACCTCCATCTGTCGAAACCTCATTGCCCACTCACACCCGCACACCTGCATAATCAGGTGGGGGATGGTGGGTGGCTAGTTCGGCTCAAGTTGGGGGAGTAGTGGTGAGTGGCGGGTTCAATTTGGGTAGGGGAGTGGTGGGTTGTTGGGGTTCGATTCAGGTAGGGGATTGGTGGGTGGTTGGGGTTTGGTTCAGGTGGGGAGTAGTGGGTGGTTAAGGTTCAAGTGGGCCCCACAAGACGATTTTTTAACTGTTGTTAAATGGTAGTGGTACTCAAACAAATTTTCTAATAATGGTAGTTGTTTTTTTAAAAAAAAAACTTAAATGGTAGTTGTTTTCAAAAAGTGCAAAGTAAATGGTAGTGGTCCACAAATTTTCCTTAAAAAAATAAATAAAAATTTGAGCTTAATAAATGAAACATTTAAGCAACAATAGAGTAGAGAGAGATTTGATGGGGTTTGAACACATTGGAATAATATTCTTCATAATTATTGTATTTATAACAAAATTAATAAACCTTTGGTTTTTAAAACATTAAATTCAAGGTTTAGATATAAACATCTTTCATAGAAATATACTTCCTCCTTCACTACTGTGGATATCTTTCATAGTGCATTGTTAGAAATATAGATTATTGTTCGTATTGAAATGCTTCAAAGAAGATAATACTTGGCTGTATCTTCTTTATATAATAATGAGAATTTATGGTCAAAGTTTTTAAAGTTTGACCATGTAAAGAGAAACGGTGCAATTATTAAGTATCGGAGGAAGAAATTATTTAGAAACATGTACTTGAAACGCATATAATGTCTATGGTTATTTAAAACACAAGCCTTCAACCAAACTATGTGAGTTATTTTTTTTCTGTAGATTGTCTTCTAAACTTTTTTTCTTATAACATCAATTTTTGTATGTTTATGTTTCTATTACCTAAAAAAAAGCTCAATCAACCTTTGGTTTTGGAACAACAAAATTTGCGGATTACAAGCAACATTTCTTTAGAACACTCAATTTTTGTTTTTAACATGGATTCAAAAAGGGGCATATTAATATTTAAAGCTACTTAAAACACAAGCTTTAAGCTGGAAAATGTGAATTATTTTTTTATTTTTTATTTTTTTTTTATTTTTTTTTATTCTAAATATTGTCTTCTAAATTTTTTCTCTATAATACATATATTAAATCTTCACGCTTCTTGTGTTTACATTAAAGGTAAATCAACCTTTGAATTTTAGAACTTAGAATCAAGTTTTTGAACATTTACAATAACTTTTAGAGCAACAAACTTACATTGTAGAACATGAATAACAAAGGGTAAACAATATCTAAATAGTCAGAATAATCAAAATCTGTGGGCCTAGAATGAGAACCATAGCCTGAACCGATAACAAATTACCAATTTAAATGGGTCGTGAGATCATCATAATTGAACGATCAAGGTGTAAGCAGTGTAATGGTAGTTTCGTAATTTTGCAACTTCTTAAACTGATTCCAGTTACTTTTAAAACAATTTAATTTACTTTCAGAGGTCTTTGCACTACGTGTAAAATCAAATGAATGAAAATTTATCTAAAACAGTTTTACTTCATTTGGATTTGATTTTATTTTTTTTGTGTGTGTGTGTGTGTGTGTGTGTGTAAAATCTCTAACTTCCACAAAAACCAACAAATTATCCCCACTATCTTCTTGTTTTCATTGAACTTTAAGTAACACTGACCACTACAAATTCTCTTATAAAACCCAAGCCCATGAGAAAATGGGACTTTTATATAGGGACAGTGAGAGTATCACAGATTCACAGATAAAGATTAACTTCCTTGTCCATCATGTTAGATTAGCCTTACATAACATAAATCTGAAAGTGGACCAACCTGCTATATACTTGCGAACTAGACCGCAAAGGTGATCCATTCCATCTAATAAGAATCCAATAGTTGGATCAGTAGGGTCCTGAAATCAAATTTAGAGTGGTAAAGGAGGAAAGAGTTCAGAAAAGTAAATTCAAACACAAAAGGAATCCAAGTATATTCAACATTTTAGAACAACAGCAGACATTGCTTATAAGTTAACAGCTCTGACATAGTTTATCCAGCTATTCTTTTAAACTGCATAAAATTTACTGAAAGATTAAGGAGGGGAAGGGAAATTTCTTACTATTTCCACAGGTAGCGTATGAGTAGTAGCTTTAGACTTTGATGACATAATTCCTACATGCTGAAAGTACCATATCACCTCGGACTGAGCTAATGCCAAAGCTGAAAACACCATCTTAAAAATCACAGAAAAAGTGTGGTCAAATATAAAAAAAAAAAAAAAAAAAAAAAAAAAAAGAAGTTATTGAATTGAAATGTCACAGATGAAGTCAACATTTGTATATATACCTGGATGTTGGGAGCCAGTAAACTAGGCTGATCAGTAAAAAAGAGAACCATTCTTCCAATTTCCTGCTTTAGAAGTATTCTCCTTTCATGGTGTATTGCATCACAGCATAGCAATGCTTGTTCATGCACTTCACTGGGAAGAGTGAAATAGTTTCAGACATATTAGCTTATGACACTCATTTAGACTTACTAAATACCTCCTCCATTTCACTAAAATTGCAACACTTGCCTACGTAGGATGTTTCAAAATAATTGAAACATTTCCTCTTTTTTTTTTCTTTTTTTTTTTACAACTTTTCACAGCTACTTTATTCATACATCGCCCACTCTTTCTCTCTCCCCTCCTTTACATCTTCCTTAAAAATACACTTTACTTTAAACTTTTTGCAACCTCTCTCCTCTTGCATTAAATACAGTGCCAACCCCAATTGTTGCAATTTTAGTGAAATGGAGGAAGTAGAAAATTAGAAGACAAACGAGAACAATCTGAATAGCATCTTCTATACTGCAACCATGCTGGAGAGAAATTTTGAGATAGCATTTCTTTGGCCCTCACCCGCAAATAACAGAACTGATGACAATTTGACAACTAAAGAAAAGGTATATTCTAACAAGCAAGACTACATATCTGCTCTTGTACTCTTCACAAGTCACAGAGTGATGTAAAATAAGCTAGGAAAAACTAATCCCCAGTTCAACACGAAGGGCCTGAACATAGTGTATCAAACTGACAGGTTCTAGGTCAATCCATTAGATAATAGTGCACACAGAAAAATTCTATTGAAATGTAATTCACAAATTAGAGGGGAAAAGATAGATACAAGAGCAAAAAAGGAGAGGAAAATGGAGATTATAACTAAATCCCAACTAAAATGAAATGGATAACAAAGGATAAATATAAGTTGTAAAAAAACAAAAAAAAAATGTGAAATTATTTTTCTGAATGGGTGACACCAATCTAGTGGGCATCAAGAACCAGTTTCTTGGATACTTAACTAGGAATTATGTTTAAGCCAATAAAATCTCTCGCTAGTTGCTCCTCTTTGAAACTTCATCCAGAAAACATGGTAAGCTGTTTTACACTGGTTTCCGAGTAGAATCAATGTGATTGTGCAAAATCCTACTAAATTTCTGTTCTTAGAGCTCATAATGAGACAAGTTAACATTTGCTCTTCCACTGCCAAATTGTTCAATACTCAGGGACTTTATTAGACAATCATACCTGTTTGCTAATTGCTACTCTACCATCATGATCACTAGCAAATTAAGCATGATGCATAGAAACAATGCAATTGGTTTGCTTGAAGGCAATACCATGCTTAGTACCTAGTTCTTATTTCTGTGACTACATGCGGAAAACCACAAGGATTAAAGCAATATAATTTTTTAAAAGTTAGGTATCTAAGGGAAATGTTTTAGCTAGAAAGAGTATCCAAAAGAAATATTTTAACTTTGGATGGCAACTGACTGAAAATCAAAATGTCTGGTTAACGGGACCTTTAGGCTTAATTTTTAATATAGATAAAAATCATGAAATAGTGCCTTTTAGCTTTTGGGTTCAAAAGTATAACATAACAGTTCCTTTTCAGTTATAGGGATAAGCCTAAAAGAGCCTCCTTCCAACTTATGTAATGGGATGTTCTAATGGCGGTTTATCTATGTATAAGATGGGATCTTCTAATGGTGTTTTCTATAACTGAGGTTTGATGCTCTAGCCCATGTAGGTAAGTGCCACCGTGTACTCTGCTTATGTTCACCACTTCTCCCTCATTCTGTTCTTACAATTCTCTTTATTAAGAAAATAGACAAAGAGTGAAGGTCCATATAAAAATTCAACATGACAAAACGAGGTTGTAAAATATGAGGGCTAAATTAGCGTGTAGAGCTGTAAGCTATGTAGGTAAGTGCCACCGTGTACTCTGCTCATGTTTGCTACCTCTCCCTCATTCTGTTCTTACAATTCTCTTTATCTAGATAATAGATGAAGAGTGAAGGTCCATATAAAGATTCGACATGACGAAATGTGTTTCTAAAATATGAGGTCTGGTTTAGCGTGTTGATAGGTAATGATTGAAGGGAGATGAACAGACTCCAAAGATCTACAAAAACAGCACAGGTTTGACTGTATGAGGCTATGAGCATATGCGCACATATTGCGACTCACTAGAAAGTACTTCGAAAGGCGCCGGCTACCTTCATGAAATAACTCATAAGTTGATATGTACTTGCGGAAGCATCCTTGAAAATTCCTTTCCAAAGAGGCGAATCACTACTTTTGGCCACGGGTTGAGGAACACCCCTCCCGCCGCCCATGGAAAAAAATTCCTTAATCACTACTTTTGGCCACGGGTTGAGGAACACCAACGTCAACCGCAAACGAAGGATGGCCAGGCCCCGGTTACTAAAATAAAGCTAGATCACAAGGTTCATCTGGATCTTGACCGGGTCCGAGCTTCCCAAGCTCCCCAGCAGCTGTCGGTCGGGGCGGGGAAATCGTACTCTGCTATGAGCCTATGTGCATATATTGCCATTCAAAAATTATACAAGCATAAACATTACATGTGCCTACAAATGAAAAATAGGACTATAGGCTTATTCAGCGCATACTTCTTGTTTGAGAAAAATCAATCCGAATTATATGGATGTTACCTTTGTACCTTATCATTTTTTCAACCTGCTTTGCCACACTATACTCAAGATCTGCTTCTTTCTGCTTTGTACGACCAGCCTTTGCAATCTTCTTTGATTCCAATATGCGTGGCAACACATATCTTTGATAATCCTCATGCAACAATATATGCTGCATATTGACACCATTTCCTGATTAACTATCCAGTATCCACACAACCTACATATCCTTCAAAGTAAGAAATGAAAACCTCACCTCATCTCTGAACAAAGTGAGAACTAAGCTTTCCTTCAAACCAACCTACATATCATCATAAATGTCATTGTAAGGAAGAAGTTGAAGAACTAACAAGAAGCACTAAAATATCAGATAAGCAAGAACAATAAAAATTGAATTTACACAAGCAAAAACAATGTTGCATTATCAAATGATTTAGGCTATGATCTCACAGCTAAAAAGACAGGTAAGGGGGGAGAAAGGTCAAGGGAGGTTGTAAAATCTGAGGACTTAATCCTCTTAATATTATTCATTTCATTTCTTCCAAAAGAACTTTTTATGTAAAAATGAAAAAGTAAAAGGATTCAGATGTAGAATGTACCAAAGCAATGTCAATGCTGGTTACACGCAGAAGTTCATCTGGACAAACAAGGTATCCAAGAAGCACCCATTCTCGGTAGGATGTAACATTTGCTAGATCTTGAGCTCTCTGTAGAGAGAAAATGAGAAAGTGACAGTGGAAATCCTTTTCCCATATCAAAGATAAGACATGATGGAATCTTAGATATATCAAGAACAACTTGCTGTGTTGCAAATGCAAGCACATGTCAACATGTTACATGTGGTCCAGAAGCAGTGTTTTATTGACATAATAATAAAGTTTAAATTCAAACGATCCTTCGTATCTTTTTTCAAAATCCAGCAGCTGGAATTCTTTCACAAATTTGGAGGGTGTAATCCAACATAGTAAGATGGCTTTGACATAGTACAGCAAAGATCAAGACCAGAGGATGCACACTAACCATGGGATGAGCAGAATTTGTAAGTATGTCTGGATATCGAGGATGGAAGGGACTCAAAAACCCCTCATTTCTAAGCTTCCGAGTATCTGCTGATAAAAATATAACAGGCCCAACAGCCTCTAAAACCTGGAAACAGTTTCAGATGTTACTACATAGCTTACAAGATGCTAGACATTAGCATCTACTCATAAAAAATTTATTGTTTACAATCATTTTCTGGAGCAAATAGACAAAATAATGGCCACTCCTCACATTGCTTAGTTGCACCCAGCTCTTAGATGGTAAAGGTTTTCAACGACACAAGTTTGGAGTAATGTAATAAACAAGTTGCAGGAGCAGCAGCACAAAAAGTATAATTAAGAACATATAGCAGCAATGCCAGTTACACAGAAAATCTGCTAGACATAATGCCTTACAACTCCTGTAGAGTGCATCCACAAGAACAGATATTACCCCTTTATAACAAATTAAGCTACAAAGAAAAGAAATGCTATCAGAGCTTAAAGAAAATATGCCTACTTCAGGATTAGAAAGACATGGGAATGAATTTTAAAAAATATATATATAAATAAATAGAAGTATTACTGCATTACTAATCTAAAGTTTAAATGTCATAAAACCCACCACCAAAATTATAACTACAATGACGCAAGCTATAGTACTCTATCCCAAAAGACCTCAGCCCATATACCAATTTTAAAACTTCCTCCCCTTGTACCTCACTAAAGTGGATTAATTAAATATCAGATGCTGCATACCAAAAGGCAAGCTGACCAATTGAAACCAACAACTCAAAAAGCCTTTCCAAAAGATATGTAGCCAATTGACAGTCGCAGAGAAAGATGATTTCTCATCTCAAAAGAGTCACAACTCCAGAGGTGTGAAACATAGACTAATAGACAATAGGGTGAATATACTTATTTGGTCGCCAAATCTGCTATATGTCATTGGTTTTGAACCATTCCATACAATTTGTGCACATAATGACATACAACTACTTAAGGACCTTCATTCCACATTTCAGTTGCCTATGGAAAAGAAGCAGCTCGTAAAAATCTTTGCAAATGTTTATATGATAGAGTAAACAACACCACAAATAGATCACATGCATCAACACCAGACATTTTCTCTTAGCATGGTTTAGATTTCAAAGACTTCCTTTCCATAAGAAAATTAGGTTAAGCATGCATTATAACCTCTCCAATACGTGGACTGACAAAATTCAGGTCCTCCTGAAGCCCCTTGACTGGTGGATCGTAGGAGTCTATAAATTGAACCAGCCTGTATTCAATATAAAGAAATAAATTCAGCAAGCCTTTCTGAAGACATCTAGACAGTATAGTAGATATTGCCTGTTTCAGGGGAAAAAAAAAAAAGAAAAGAAAGAGCATCATCCTGTTACACTAATCAATATCAAACTTATCAGCACTCCATAAATGACTGATGATAAAGAAATTAATCATATTAACTACTGAATTATTTTTTTTGTTATCATCATCTAAATCATCCTAATTATCATTTAAATCTGGCATTTTCTTAATACGAATTTTGCAGCCAATAACATTCATTATTTGAAGATGACCAAATAAATAAATAAACCCTTTCTATAAGAGAATTTAGATAAATATTGTAGGGGTTCTAAATGTTTTTCTAGTGGTAGGCAGGTCAAATAATTTTCATATCCAAGTTTCACATGTTAATAATCAAATAAACATAATGATTAAATAGATTAAAAGATAGGCCATCATCAAGATAAGCATTGAGTTGAAGCTTGCAAGAATTCTACCTGTGGTAAAAATCACAATCACGGTCATTCCTCAAGATTCCGTGTAAAAGGTTGTACATCTGCAGCATCATTTTCCCAGGTATCTGAGGTGAAAGCAGCAACATATTAGTATTGATACTGGAAACAACTATTAAGATTTCATATAGGCCTGTCCATAACAAAGTGACATTTATTGACAGAAGATACATGAATGATTATAAACAATGAAATTTTTAGTAAGATAAGACGCCCAGACAAAGTACTTGCCTTTTCAGAAAATAGATTCACTCGAACAAATGAACAAAATAGATCCATGAATGCGTGTAGTATAAATGAGTTCTGATGAGGCTGCAAGAGAAATTCTCCAACTGATTAGAAATTTGATTTAAAGTTCTGCACATCTTCATTTCTTAACAAACTTCTTCATGAGTATGATGACAAATGGAGGAGAAATGAATTGGAGACCGTAAACATTAAGAAGTGCCACAGAAGACAAGTATAATAACACCAATCATGCTACGTAAAATGGCAGTATTACTGACAATTCTAAAAATTATTAACTTTGCATAAATTCCATTTGCAGTTATTGTCAGTCTCTAAAAAGTCTGATATCATTATATGTACTCCGTAATACAGATGGTATAACTACACTCTAATAGTATGTTAAATCATTAGGAAAATTTATTTACTAGCTTCAACTAATAACGTTAATTGCACAAAATACCAGCTGAAATTGGAAAATCAACCTAAAGAGATAAAAGTTCCAGTTCGGACACTTACAAAGACAGAAATGTATAGCTACAATGTTCAGACACTAAAACTACATACAACATGATGCCCAAAACATTTGTCACTAGCAACTCCAAATAGCTGCATCCTTCCCCACCCAGACCCCCTTTTATTCCCCCAAAACAATGAATAAACATATTATAGGAGTAGATGAGATATTATTTTGAACACTTACCAGCAAGGTAATCACTGTGCTGCTTAAATCCAACAGAAGTCGTAACGCTTGTTCTCGGAATGCCATCAAATCAAGAAGCAGCTGATGAGATTAAATAAAGTCAACCACTGAATACCCTATTTCCATTGACTTTTATGAATTCATGTATAGCAAAATTGTTTATAGCAACATCTGAATAGTCATGGCTAGAAATCAATCACATTGCAAATTACTTCCCCATAAAGCACCACATAAGATACATAAGAATGTGACACAGAGGCAGTGCCTTTGCGTCAAGATTCATAGCTTCAGGGGCATCCAGGATAAATATTCATTATCTGTGACAGTGAATTACAATAGAGCATTAATTAGGTCAAAACAGCTCATTGAACTATTCATGAAATTGCCTCTCCATTATTTCAAGGGAAAGGGCAAAAGGCTATATCAAATCCTTCTAGCTTGCCCTCCACAAAAGCCAAATTAGAGGTGTTAAGGTACGGTTGGTGGTGCTGCATTCATAAATACACTAATTGCATGGGCATGCAAAAGAACATAAGAAGGTGAAAAATGGCAAGATGATTAATAAAGTTCAAACCTGAACCCACGGCTCCAAATTTTGAAGATAAACTTCAGCACCATCTGTTAATGAATCAAAAGCAATTTTATCAACCTACATCAACATTAATTTCAATAATTACTATCAATAACCAAATTTTCATAAAATGAAACAATAATTTAACAAAGATGAGGAAATGCTGACACGCTCAAGTTGTAATCTGCTGGTATGCTCCGGGAACTTCCTTGCGACCAATGTACATATCTTTGGAAAATTAGGAATCACACCAGCTTTCCAAAAAGACTCCGAGAACAAATGGTTGACCATATCTGGATGATCTAAAATCTGATTGAGTCTATACATTTTCGCCATGAGACCCTCCCCAACCTCAGTGAGTTGTACGACATACTGTATATTCAAACCCTTCGTAGACCCTCCAGCATTTTGAGTAGTCTGAGCTTGACCCTCCGGTCCCATACTCTTAAAGCTCCTCAACGCCATTGGAGAAGCCATTATAGAGCTCGAAAGCTAGGATACTACGGTACTTTCTGGTGAGGTCTTAGATTTTATTGTAAGATCAGATCGACTGCAAAAGTCAGAACAAATGTAAAAATTTAGTACAGAAATTCATCTTGTCGCCTCCAAAAATAAAGTGTCACCCTGATACAGAATAATTTAAGCACTATAACAAATTCAAGAATTATTTTGTTACAAAACGTAGCAGTAAATTCAAGCACAATATACCGGAAATGTGATAACACCGATACCGGAAATAGAACCTATCCCGAAATAAACGGATCAAACGCAGTGCTCCGTAAATTTCACTATCACAATGCATGAAATCGTGAATCAAACACTAATAGAAGCAATTCGAGGTTAGTTCACAATTCCAAAATTAACACAAATGAGTATAATTTCAGATAAATTGAAGCAAAATCCAACAAAGATAAAGTAATTTCGTATGTAATTGAACAACATAACCTCAGATTACAGCAACAATTTCATCAAAAAATCCAAAAATACTATTTAGTTTGAATGAATTCAGTAGCAAGCAATTTCAAAATAAATTCATCATCCAAATAGCAACAAAAAAATAACGAAAAATAAAATAAAAATTACTAGGAATGGTTAAATTACATACATTTGACAATGTTGCTGTGAGAAATTCGATGGTAGAATAGCCGGGAAGATGATGAACATCGAAAAGCAAGTGCGAAGTTCGTTGAATTAGTTGAGTTAGCTTCAAGATTTCAGAGGTTTAGTGCTAGTAGTTGAAAGGATTTGTTAGATTAGTGGTATTTAATTTGGGTATTTTCATTGTACCTTCTACCTACCATTTGCTAAGAATGTGAGGAGATTTTCCAATAACGTTTTTTGTGTCTTGCTTTCCAAAATGTGAATGTGTCATCGACTTCATTTGTACATCACTCCTTAAGAAAGTAAGAATTGTCAAAATAATACTCCATTTTAGATTAATTCGCAATAATTTAACTTTAATACAAAGTATTATGTATGTGTTTTTTTTACTCTTAGTACGTGTCTGGTGTTCCACATTGTTAATTAATAAGATGTTTTATTTACATTTACACTGTGCGTAAGGAATTCTTAATATTCTAAATATGTTCTTAGCGTACTGAATTTGTAGGCACAATTTCAAAAATCTTTTTGTAGATGACGTTTTTTGTATAATTTTCTGGTGCAGTTCCCTGGTTATCAATAAGAATTTGAAGTCTCTTTCTCGAAGTGACCCTTGATGCCACAGCATAAAGTTGTCCATAACTGAATACGAGTTTTGGCAAATAAAGAGTTGTGTTCTTTAGTATTTGTCTTTGACTCTTGTTTATTATCATTGCATAGTATAATTTCATCGAAAATCACCTCCTCTTGAAAATGAAAGACAATTTAGAGTCAATGGGATCATTAATGTTCTTGGAATGATTATCTTATTGCCTATGCATTTTCATGTCGTTATCTTAGCTACTATTATCCAAGTTGCTAAATGTGTGTATTAGTCTTGTTCCGTTGCATAGCGTATCCTCTTGCTTAAGGTTCCTTAGTAGTATGATAGAAGTGTCTGTTTTTAGATGTAACTGATGATCTAAAATCCCATCAAACTTCAAGCTGTTTAGGAACTCTATTAGGTGAAGGATATCTTGATTGGTTATATATATCTCCGAAACTCTTGCATATTGAATTTGATGAGCTTAGATTTGTTTTTGTTTCCTCGAGAAGTGAGTTCATGATGTAATTGTTAATTTCATCCACTATTGCATTCTTTGGTGATATAATGCATCTCTCACATAAATACTCAAGATACTTATATCGAGTGTGTGAATTTCCATATGTCTTTGATACCAGATATGGCATCTTCCTTAGAATCTATAATCAAATTGTCTGGTATTTTGATCCATGTGGCCTCATTTTCTCCTCCCATTCTCGGCAATGGTATAGTGCCCTCCTATGTATGATATCTGGATGCCAAATTCTTAAATTTTCTTCTTGTCTTCTTCATTACTAGTCTGCTGAAATCTCATGTTTTTGTGTAGTGTGTAAACCTTACATTCTTCCCATATTTTTGATTTGATATGGTGGCTCCAACTATCTCTTCTCCCTTTTAGCACTATCAATAGGATTTGTCTGAAGTCTTCGCCTAGAAGCACTGTTTTCCCACCAAAGATAGTATTCTCAAGTAATACCCCGTATTTTTAAACGTATTTTCTAATTAATTAATTGATTATTATTTCCTAAAAAGGGTATTTTAGTAAGTATTTTACTATTTGAATTTTGGAGCCAAAATGATATTTGAATTTTGGCGCCAAAAGTATTTTAAAACTTAATTATTATTTTTGGATTTTGGATAAGATTTATTATCCATTTATTTTATTTTGAAAAGCGGATTATTTATATATATTTTGGATATTTTAATTAAGCAAAAATTATATTTTATTATTTAATTAGGAGGTCCGAAAATTCCTACTCACTGGCTATTAATTTCGGAGTTTCCTATTGTGGAAAATCTTATTTTCTTAGTTAATTTATTTAATGAATAATTGATATTCTCTTAATTAATTATTTTATACAATATATATTACTTACACAATTATTTTTAATTCCTTAAATCTAGCAAAATAATTCCTAAAAACTACATGAGGGGTCCGAAAATTTGAGCTATGGAAGCTCAAAATTTTCGGCCACCATGGTTGGATTTTGGGTGATTTATTTTGGTAAATTGTATTTTTAATTATCTCCCTTAAATTTATTATTTTTCCTTAATTCTTATTTCCCATCTCCTAAATATTTTATCATCTTATTTCTTTATTGTTTCGGGGTTTTCAGTGTCCCTCAGGAGAGTTACAACACCAAGACTGGATTTCGGGCGCCTGTACCTGCTAAACAACGGAGGCTCTGGTTAGGTGGAGTTCCGCCTCCGACAAATCAAGTTAGAGCGTGTTCGGAAGATGTAAAATGTGCTGAAAGTAAACTAGTATCTTCTCGAATTCCGAGATCGAGAATGTTCTCTAAGGTGAGAGTTAATTATCTGCAATCATTGACTGCTCTGGCTTGTTCGTGTTGAATGAATGTGTATGAATGTCTCCCAAGGTGGGAACATCTCCCTATTTATAGGATCCTGGGATTCGTGTCGCTATCCAAGGTTACGGAAACCTAGGAATGGTGGGCTATCTCGGGAATTAGGCCTTAAAGGCCATCTTTTTCCAAATGATCGGGGATGCCACGTGTCAGCCAGGGAGAGGTTCATTTTGATCCTCTCTTAAGGTGACACGTGTCACCATCTTATTGGGCCACACGACCTGGGGGTATTTTTACCCAAAATATTTGCCCCTCACAGGTGTGACGTGGCATGCCACGTGGCGCCTGTGACACTTGTCACTTAGGTGTTGGTGAACATGTCCAACTGTTTACCTTCTGGGGGAATTACTGGGATGCCCTTGAAATTACCCTTCCATAAATAAGTTTTTACCCTCCTCTTCTTTCGGACATTTCCAAAATTTACAGAGAGTCAACCGTTTCTCTAGAGAGAAAATCTGACAACCGTTTGTGTAACTGACAACCGTCTGTGTATCTCCCAGACAATTGTATCTTTTTACCAACTAGATATAGCCGGTATAACGTCTATGCTTTTGACAGACGGGAATTTTTTAGAACCGCCTGGGTACTCTCCAAACAATTCTCTTCTTTTTCAAGGGGGTACATCCGGTTAACCGTATGTGCATCTTGCAAGTTACAGCCGGTCAACGCTTGACTTCATTTTCAGCAAATCTTAGAGGTATCGTCTCTCCCCCTCTCAGCTCTTTCATAGTTTTTCCGTTTGTGTACATTTCATTTCATAAATGGATTCACCAACAACACACATTGCATAACCTAGTTTAGTAGGCAGCCGGTCCCCTGGTACGGCTGAGTCTAGGATTGGGGGTGCCGCCTCTAGGTGCTTGGATCACTCTTGTTCATATCCAAATCCGACCATCTCCGTGTCTGTGCATGACACTATGGCTCAGACTAGATGGACATATGTAGATCCGGATTACAGGGAAGAGAGCACAGAAAGTGTGCCGCCTGAGATAGATTAGGCTGAAAAGGCAAGAGGATCCCCTCTGGGTGCACCAAGCACTCCTAGTGACGGGATCCTTGAATTAGAGAATGTAGACGGTGACGAAGCCGCCTCTGCGTCTGGATCTGAGAAGGCGGATGAGGCTGCCCCTAAGAGAAGCGGGGGTGAGTCTGCCTCTGGGTCTAGCCCTGAAAAGAGCAGCGGCTCACTATCATCGGTGGAGGATAGTGAGGCGGAGGAGAGATTAAAATGGAACAATGAGGGGAATCCATTTCGGATCCATGTCTCTGCCAGAGACAGGGAAAACATGGAGAAGCGCCTGGAGGCCTTCAAATTCAAACGTCCTCTTGGTGAAGGATATACCATCCGGGTGCCGCCTGAATTGGGGACCATTGCCTGAAAAGATGACCAGCCAAATGCCAACTATTATTTTGGCTACTATGAGGCGGCTTTCCTAGCCGGTCTCCGCTTCCCCCTTCATGACTCAATCAAGGCTATCCTGCGAGGATACGGCCTGGGAGTGTGGCAGTTAACCCCGAACTCTTGGGTTAACATTCTGGGCTACATCGCCGCCTGTGAGATGCAGGGCCTCCATCTCGACTGGGAGGCTTTTGCCCACATGCATTATCTGAGCCGCAGCCTAGGCGGCTGGAGAGCGTGGTACACATTAACCACCTACCCCAACTATTTTGATGACCCTAGACAAACCGTCTAATTGGTCTAATTGGAAGAACCGGTTCTATTTGGTTTCTACCCCCAAACGACAAGAGAACTTTAAATACCGCTGCTATAATAAGAAGCCAAATGTGCTGGGGCAGAAATGTAAACTTCCACAGGTCCCGGATGAGGATTATGAAAAAATAATTGAGCCGGGGTTTTTAGAACTTACAACCACCACTCTCTCAACCGAGGAATTAATAAGTGTACCTAAAAACTAGGTACCCAAACACGAGTTTCTGAGGGACGAGGGGTTCTTGTCCGCCTGCGGTTTAAGCACCATGTTTGACAAACGTATGTAGAGCATGCATCCGGCAATATTATGCCGTCTTTATTGTTTCTAACTTGTGATTTATTTTTGCCTGCTTGATGATCTGACAGACGGTTCTTTTTGCAGAAACCGCCAGAAGGATGCTTCCAGAAAATAAAACGCCTGGTCATTCTGCAGCAGACATCCGCATAGAAAATCCGGAGAAGAAGAAAGCCGCTCTGGCGGCTAAAGGCCAGGAATAAACCGCCTGCCCCAGCTTCTTTCCCATTGCCTTATTTTTGTATACAGACGGTTATGAACTGGCTGTGTGATTAATGCCTAGTTCCGATTGTATGCTTAACATCTGGTTTGTTTTTCAGGATGGAGATAAGGGAGCTCCCAGATCCCTTTCCAAGATAATTAGACGGAGGCCGGGTGACGAGGTCACTAGCTCTAACAAATCTAGAAAAATAACTTCTGCTCAAACGGCTTATGAGCTTTCGCTTAGGAAGGGATGTCTGACCGTTGGAGGGAAGAGTATCATGAATGCTTGTTTGGGGATAGACCTTTCTAACCAGTCGGGTGCCTCTGAGGTGCCGAAGGGTGGCCAGCCACCCAAAGCTACAAGCGGTTCTGCAGCGGCTGTATGCGATCTGAGCCTTCACCCTTATCCCTAAGGTACGGCTGATCCCTTCAACTCCTCCTTTGAGCTTGGTTGGCTCATGCAGGTTAAGTCACATTCAATTCTCAGCTACACTCAGAGGGTTCTTTAGGCAGCCGGTAGTCTGTTGGTGGCGCCTATGTAGCTTTCTCACCATATCTAACTTCTGGTGCAGATCCATCTCCCCGGTGACTGTGCAGCAGTTCTCT